GTGCTGAGTGCCTAAATGATAAAGCCACACACTCGCCCACTCGTTGCTCTCCCGCATCCCTGATAAGCGTTGAGGAGCCACCTCCGATCAGCACCTGGAACTGGTAGTCTTTTGTCGGCAGCAACCACTTTCAGGAAAGGAATTCAGAGAATAGCTGGCTAGTGCTTCCTTCAGAAATTCAAAGCGCCCGAAACTTCCAAGGGGTTCGCTGCCCAGGTACGTGACCCGTGTGGAAGCGGAGGATGTGCAGGGCTCCGTTGAAGGGCTAGATTCTATGAGTTTAGAGTGCTGAAGAAGCACTTAAGGGGGAATTCTGATATAATGGGGTAAGAACTGCGAACTACAGTGATTAACGAAGGCGCAGTTGTGGGCTTTGTAGCCAGTGGTAAAATTTTTGGTTTGTTTTAAAACACTAGCCACCATGGAGGCTGCTCACGTCTCGTTTCAAGTGGGCCTCCATTGCACACATACTATGCCTGATATGCTTATCATCAGCTTTGATTATTGCTTGGACGTTGGTGGTGTTAGCCTTTTGGTATTCGCTACACTCATTCTCATGTGCAGGCACCCCAGTTGGCTCGTCTCTACAATCTAGCTGATGCCCATTTTGTGGCTTCGAGCTCTACTATGTTGCGTGCACGTTTTAGGCGATGTCTCTCAGTGGAGCTCCAGTCACTGAAGAATGGCAAGGGCTTCAGGGACTCCGGTAAGCCCTATCAGTAGTGTGAACACCCGTTCCTGCAACACACTCTAGTGACACAGAAAACACGTCCTTAGCTGAAGCAACACATGGATCATGCGCTCCTTAAATAGCTATGGTTGTTGATCTGCTGATATGTCCAAAGTACCTTCTAGCGATCGCATAGCTCATGCCAAAGGGCTGACGGGTGCATTTCTCAGTGCAGTCGTGCGCAGTCATTAACTCTCCCACCGCCCAAAAATCTTAGCCACCACTTGGTTCTGAAATCACATGGCCTTAGTTGTTGAGGTACTTGGCATGTTGTAATCTTGCTCACCTCCCTACGCCTTGGTGTAAGTTTATTGTGACCCCTCTCTTGACCTCACAGCAGACTGCATTTTAAATCCGGTAGGCTCTCTGAAGTCCCAATTATCTGCCTGCTTTCCGCCATATTATAGTGAACAAGAGAGTTATGAAGTATCCTTAACCAGATGCTACTCACACATCTCAAAGCGTAAAACTACAGATGATCCCTTGCGTTTCCGAGCCCCACAGGCCGTCGCACACTTTACCAATATGTAGGGCTTCGAGGAAGTTTTCCCATCCAAGCTCCAGGCATGCAGGATCTTGAGCATTGCTCCTAGCAATTCCCAATATCTTAACCTGCCAATGCTGAAATATAATCCTAGCTGTAGTCCATCCAACCATGCAATCTTATTATCCAACTATTCAGAGCACCCCAAGCAGTGATCGACTCTCATTTCAGCCCTAAGCTTTCCCCACTGATTGAGCTTGGTGCTGAAGCCTGTCCTGGCCATATGCCTCAAAGGACTGGCACTCACACTGCACAGTCAGCCACCCTCTTTAATCGCTTTCCGTTTTTTGGTGCTGCAGAAGAAGACGCAATTGTGGTGGATAATTCTTCATGAAAATTGGCTTTTTGCAAAATGTACAAGCTGCTCTACAGCATTGTGATTTGCTGTTTGTCGCCTCGTAGCCTGGGAAGTACACATTTGAGCGTTGCTGCTTCCCCAGGGAGGCATTGCACCGCCCTGGGCGTGCTGGTCCCATCCCTCTTTCGTTGTTTTGTGTATGTATCGGCATTGTTTTTTAACCCTTGTCCCAAACTTGTATTTTGCCGTTCTTACTAGCACTTTTTCGCGGTTTCCCGTCCCTGGGGAGTGGCAATAGACTTAAAGCCTCTCCGCTGCCCGGTGCTTAATTCATGCAAACGGGCAACTGTGGAACACAAAAGCGCGTGCTTTTTGAGACAGGAATAGAGCTGGAAAGACGCTAGCACTACTTGAACCCTTCATGTCGTGAATTGACAGTGCGATCGGGTCTCCAGCTGCTTTCTTCCGCAATTCAAAGGCGTTATGTAAGCACTTACAACTGAAGAACTAGGGGCCTGCGTGCCCATTCTTTATAAGCGCCCTCAACCCGTGAGGAAAATTAGTGTAGATGCACGATCATCTGAGACGCGAGCTAATACACATTCAAAATTTTGTAGTAGATTTTTGGCAAGGATGTTATCTCAGACTTTGTGACCATTGCACCTGTCCATGCGCAGTTAGCTACAAAAAGGAATTGAGCTTGACCGTGCACAGGTTTGAAGATTGAGCTTGTGCAAAGACTGACTTCTCAGCAAGCTACTTGTGGTTCAAGCCATGCTGACGTCCACCAGGCCAATCGGGAAGATAGTATGATGAAACCCTCTCCGGTGCCTGAACGGTGTTTTAGTCTTGATTTTGCATAGAGCTGGGTGTTCCATTGAGGTACTGAATTGTTAGACGTAATAATGATTACTTTTGATGCTGAATCCTGACTTAGACGCGTCCAGTAGCAGCCCAAGTGAACGTGTAAGCATGGGGACACCGACTACTCCTATGTATATCTACACGGAATATTCATCTTAGTTTCCCTAGAGAAAAGTATTAATTCTTGAGACATACACTACATGGGTTTTGGGGAAACCTCTGCAGACTGGATATCGAGTTTGGTATCCCCATACGAGCACAGTTAACCCGTATTGAAGACCCTTGCTACGCTACTGTGCTTGCGAGGCTAGAGGCAATACCCAACCACCCAACCAAAGTTTTCACGCAATAAGCAAGTGGTCACGGGGGGCCCTAGGCTCTGGAATTGGGCGGTAGAATCAAAGTAAAGCTACGTGGCTAAAAGCTACGGCGCCTCTTGGGGTGCAGTCGAACCACGTAACACATGATGTTTAAAGCCTACGGCCCTGCTTATAAGTGCTTTTTGAAAAGAGTTTTCACACATTCTACTGAATGGTTTAAGTTTATTCGAAACTTATGGAGACCTGTCTATTTGAGTTGGCATGCAGTGTATTCCATTTATTTGGAGGGTACAGTTGGATCAGTACAGGGCTCAACGCTGGATATGTGTTTTCGATGCTATCTGCAGCTACCAGTTGATGCTCGGAGTGCACTGAGAGTGTAGCAACACGCACCTAAGGTATCCATCTCCCCTCCTACAGTGAGTCTGAGGCATGCAAACAGCTAAAGAAGAGATCCCTGTTGAGAAGGCGTTCAACAACCGTCTAATAAATTTGTGTTATGGCCTAGAGGTAGGTGTTCTAGTACCGCGACCTTTGATAAAGCGATACCACGTATATATTCGCTTTTATATAGACCTTAGCTGCCTTCCAGTATGTTGTTCTTTTTATTGTTTAGTGATCTTAGACGTCTGTAAAAATCGAAAGCCATGAGCGATTACGGAGTGGTAGGCGTTCGGCGGTTCCGTGTGTTACACAGCAGTCAATCCTCCTAAGGAATATTCACTTCTTACGCTCCATTTAAGGTAACCATAGTACCACGCTCAACTCCGACCCCAATAAAACCTAACAGAAAGCGGTTATACATATTCGTTAGAAGAGCCTCCCCCTTTCCCTCCAGCTTCCCATCAGGGTTTGAACAGGAGGGTATGGGGGGCAACTGGGTAAGCTTTCACATTTGGTTGCATATTCAATTGAGTGCAACTGCCACTGTGCAATAATTAAGATGTACAAGCAGACAAAGCAAGCCAATCGACTTTCAGCTTTTCGAAAAAATGAAGAATGATTAGTGGAGTAGAGAGGGGCTAAGTGCAGCCTACCTCGAAATCAAGAGAAACGCTATATGGCATTACTCTGACCGGCATAAGTCTGACGATCAATGTCAAGTAACAAGGCTCAATCTAGAAGACTCTTTTGGGAGTCGCCGTACATAGAAATAAGACAAAGTCGACTCGAACTTTTAGCAGACGGTTTTGTTCCGTTCCCCTTTCATCCCCTCGACCCATAGAGACCTTTTAAGAAAAGAAAGATGGAGAGATGGAGTGCATCTGGCTGCACGCCTTTAGCTGGCAGATCTTTCTCATACTCGTTGGCGGTAGGTAGCTTGGCGCCCAGGGTGTTTGATATGGGATCACATCTATTCCATGTCAACTGGAGTCTAAGATAGTCAAGGAACGCAGATGATGCCTCTTACTATATCAATGCTGTTTGATATTAGAGAACGACAATCTCAGTGGCTGTGGCTGAGGCTTTCCCTGCTACACAGTTCGAGGAACCCAAGGAAGTAAATGAGTGCAGCCGCACCCATTAATACCACCTCACCAGTGCAGCTGATAGGGGCAATGTACGTTTTGTTGGGTTTTATCCACGTATTAGGCGTATAAAGTCGTAACTCTGGTCTTGGCACAGTTGTACGCGAGCGACGAAAGCAAACATTTCGATTGCGGAGCGAGGAGCCCTACACCCGGAGGACAGTAGCTTCGGCATTACGCCTTAGACAGCCCAGAATAATAGAGTCCGCTTGTTTACTTTAGCTACAGAAACCCGATGTATTGGATTCCGGGTATGCGGGGGTTTGCTGCTGCCGCTGTCGCCACCATAACGCCTTAGGAAGCGCAGCAGTCGGCCGCGGTCTCTGTGGGGACGCGAACGCTATCCTCTCAGTGGTCTACTTTTAAAGCATGAAGCCCCAACTGCTAAATGCTATCAACTGGATCGCTGCATACCAAATCGGAGGCCTTCAATAGGATTTGATTGTGTCGCGGACTAAAAAGTCTCCGCCCGGGGCCATCTACCCTAACCTCGTTATTCGCTCTCTAAGGTGACTTTTGGGATTTCAGGGCAGTGTTAAAACCTTTGGATAACCCCGCAAGGGCGTTGTCTTGGAAAGACAGGGACTTCGTGCGCTATTAGGGGGAGTCCGCTGTTGCGGTCTATGGGCCGTCCCTACAGAAACGCGAGCCGGGCTTCGTTGCGTAGAGGGTGCTGTTCATGGTTTATGGCCTACGCATTTGTGGCTTTATGCAGATGGTTCGGTTGCGGTCGCTTGCTGTAGTGCTCTGTCTCGGTGGTGTCCTGAGATACGGTGGGTCCAAACCAACGCCCGCAATGCGCCTTAGCGCATTGGCGCGACAGAAGCAGCACAGTACGGAGGGCTGGAAGACTGCTGAGAAGATAAATCGGGGAGCTTGCGCATGGGCTTTGTGTGTCCCCGCAGCTGCTGGATTTCGCTTCCAGGGCCCCCAGGGCCTGTCCCCTCTTGACGGTTTGGCTCTGCAGCGAGCCCACCAGCAACACGGCCTACCTTCGGCTGCAGCAGCAGCGGCTCCTAAGAGCAGAATAGCAGCCTTGGCATCATCATCACTGTCAGCACCACCTCCGGCAGCGGAAGATGTGCCCGCGAGCCTTATGGATGTACGGCCAAGCTTCTTCAAAGGAAAGAGGGTTTTGGTGAGGGGAGACCTCAACGTGGCTGTAATGGAAGACAGCAGCAACAGCACTGGTTATAGAGTAACAGACGACACTAGAATGAGAGCGCTAGAACCAACGCTCCGCTACCTGTTGGACGCCGGGGCCCGCGTGCTTTTGCTCTCCCACTTTGGGGACCCACAACTCCCGCAGCAGCAGCAGCAGCCGCGCTTCTCCCTGAAGATGCTGCTGCAACCACTGCAGCAGATGCTACGGGTTCCCGTGCACTTTGCGCATAGCTGTGTCGGTGAAGAAACCGAAAGCATGGCCAACCAGCTCAACGAAGGTGAAGTCCTCCTCCTTGAAAACGGTGAGGGTCCGGTCTCTCGTGGTTTGAGCTTTGCGTTTGCCCAACGCTGTATCGCGCCTTAGTCTCCTCCAGTAAGAGTCACCTACTGGAGAGGCAATGAACAACGTCAGTCTGTCAAGCCCGGCTTATGGCTTAAAAATCTCTCAGGGTCACCTGCACAGGAGCTTGTACATTGTGCGTGTGCACCGTCCCTCGTGTAGTGCGCCTGAATCCTGGGGAGAAGGAAAACAGTGCCGTCTTGGGCTCCCAGGTAGCCAGCCTCTGTGACGTGTACGTCAACGACGCCTTTGGGGCGGCCCATCGGCGGCATGCGTCCTTGGACGCTGCACCCCGGGCTGCCGTTCAAGAGGGGAAAGCTGCACTTGCCGGCCTCCTGATGTTAAAAGAGCTTCAGGCCATCCAGGTTAGATGTTTAGACGCGAGAGTTTGGATCTTCGCGTTTTGGCGGCTGTAGCTGTGCGCAACGATTCGAACCCTGGGTCTGGGGACCTTCCAGGGGCGGGCAAGCCGACACGCAGGTTGCTGTTTATGTTTGCATGCTCTTCAAGTAGGACTGTTTGATTTCGGGGTGCCTGCGCTGCTCGGTTCGGCTTTGTGCTTTGTGCGGATCAGGGAGCAGTGTCTTCCCCGGAGCGGCCCGTATGTTGGATTGTGGGGGGTGCTAAGGTGTCTTCGAAAGCGCAGCTCCTGCGCCGTCTGCTTTCTGTATCCTCCAAGGGAGACAAGGTTCTGGTAGGCGGTTGCATGGCCCTCACCTTCCTCAAAGCCCGAGGGGCCGCGCTGGGTGCCTCCCTCGTCGAAGACTCGCAGCTAGAGACCTGCAAGGTACCACCCACACGCTATAGTGTGTATGCGATGTGATTCGAAGCCGCGAACCGTGGACCGCAGCTGGACAACCAGCGGTCCAAAGCGTGCAGCAAACGAAAGTATACCTTTTGAAGCACGAACGACACAATACTCTTTCAAGTGCACCACAAACCTAGTGTATAGCCTGTGTATGCAGCTTAGCCGCTGAAACATTCTGAGCTAAGACCTCCCAGAAGGGAGATGCGTGCCAGGGAAACAAAAAGGCGGAAGTACACTTGCAGGAAAGCAGAAACATGAAGGATCACACTGCAAGACAGAGCATGAGCAAGAGCTCTAATTTTACGTGGAGTGCCTTCGTACGTGTGCCGCGTATTCTGATGTTGGTGCAGGAGGTAGAAGCCTTGGCAGCAGCAACAGGAGTGGAGCTAATGTTGCCCGTAGATTTGTTGGTGGGGGCGGAGGCGTCTCCTACTTCAGAGGTTCTGGGGGCCCCTTCGGTCTCTCAAGGAGTACCCGAGGGACTCCTGGCCCTCGATCACGGACCCAGGACCAACGAACTCTTCGCCGATGCAATCAAAGGCTGCAACACTATTGTCTGGTAAAATAGAAGGCCTCTCACTAGCGCATGCCAGAAACAAAAGCCTTTTGACTGTGCATCCTAATTGGTAGACGGCCACACAGATTCTTCGAAACTCGCAACCACAAATGTCATTGAAAGATGCCATATTCCTATTCACCTCCCACCTGAGCCAGCAAACCAACTCCATGGAGCCACCTAGCCTTCAGTCCAGCGGCGTTCGTTGTCTATGCTTCTGGTGTTGCGGACACTGTTGTTAATGCGTTGTATAGGAACGGTCCCATGGGCTTTGCGGAAAATCCAGCGTTCAGGGGTGGCACTGCTGCAGTTGCCGCTGCAGCCGCGGAAGCAACGGCAGCCGGTGCAGTGAGCGTGGTAGGGGGAGGAGACTCTCTTGCTGCTGTTAAGCAGCTGCAGCAGCAGCAGCCAGACATGAAGCTGTCTCATCTTTCCACTGGCGGGGGTGCAACCCTAAAGCTGCTGGAGGGGTCCCCCATGCCAGCACTGGAAGCTCTCTGTACCCGTCAGCAGCTCGCTGAGCTTCTTGAGTAATTCCCCTGCTTGTTGGTTTTGTAATCAATTTGGCAGGAGACCCGTGCAGAGTCTGCATGGACAGTCACACATTTTTTGCATTTGATGTTCCAGCTGCCGCTTGTGCGGACGCTGCTGGATGCCTTCAGCTGTGGTGTGAATGCACTACTACACCATAACTGCACCCGCTGCAGCAGCATGGGGTGCTGCTACAGCGACAGACTAAAGAGACGAGTGCGCACTTCTCTCGCTGCGTGCCCCTTATATCACCTCTATATGCCTCAAACCTGAGGTTGTCTGAGTAGCTAAGCTACCCTAGTGTTAATATGCATTGTATTACTGTTGCTGCGTACATTGTCCAAGACGTCAACATAAGAGACGCGCCTTCAATACCCAGGCCTAAGCTGGCCCCTCAATCATAGAGCTGTTCTCAGGCCCCCTCAGGGCCTCTGGTTAAAACAGGATTTTCCTGCAACGCAGCTGCCCCTCTTTGATAAACACTTTAATACACGCCGAAGTATTGCCCTTAAAGATATCAGAGGGAGCCACGCGCTGTTCGAAGCTCTGGATCACCGCGAAAGTACACGTAAGGGTGGGAGATTTGAAGACGCCTGCGCCGTTCGCGGGAGTCATGCAACCACCTGTGATCCCATTTGAGTGAGCTGGCGAACCGCAGACCCCCGCTGGACGGGGTTTGGGGAGTACTACCGGGGGAATTCACGACATAGCGTGCGCTTTAAGTTTCCCTTGTTTCGTATCCGGACTTGTACGTATATGTATACATATATTCCGCCCTATACTATAAGCAATATGTGCGTACACAAGAGCACAAAGAGACACTGCCTTGTCAGATCTACAGACGCAAAAGCAGCCGTTTTCAGCTTGATCCCCGTCAGGCCGCTGTTAGCGAGGTTCTGCAGAGCTTATGGCTTGTGCTTAAGGGCTTCTGCCTCGGAAAATGCCTTAAAGCGCCGCATGGCGGAAGCAGCAAACGCTTCCAAGTGGAAAATTGGCTTGCTGCCTCGCCTCAAGCCCTGTGCTGCAAGTGCAGCGTCCCCCACAACTTCGAGCAGTAGCAGCCGCCTACTGCGGTGTTGCTGGTACTTTGCTGCCGCTGAGGCTGCTTCTGCTGCTCCAACGCTGGCGTTGGTCTTCGAGAGTATGAGGGAGCTGTCGGAGGGAAGCGCCCCCGGTTTAATGAAGAAGAGAGAACGAACAATCCGCAGCAGCACCAAATCTGCGGGTATCAGCGCCGCCAGCAACTCATAGAAACAGCCACGGCACTCCTGCAGAGTGCGTACACTCGGGGCTTTGGCGATCTTTGCAGCGATTTCATCGGCCACGGCCTCCCAGGGCGCTGGGAACGGGCAGCTGGGATGCCCATACATAACTAGCTGCTGCAGCTGGGAGCTTGCGACTGCGCCGGCTGCTGCAGCAAAGTTCTGAGTCAGTATGCACTGCAGAGATAGCAGCGCGCGACGCAGGTTGCGCCCACTGTGGAGCGTTACCTGCTGCAGCATGTCTTCTGGGATCAGCTCCGCCTGCGGGAACAGCACCCTCACCAGCGAGTGCAGTAAGACGCACGTCAACCTGCTCACATCTCGTGTATGACGCTCAAAGGGGGCTCAAGGGCAGATTTTACGGTTCTGGGTGAATCCTGCTAGCTTTGTCTCAGGATCTCGCGTCTATAGGTCTCGTGTCAAAGGTTTTACCGGCGTCTCTTCTGTAATTGCTGTCTTGTGAAGGACACTGATAACCTCTTTTGTTGGAGGCAGAGGCACCCGAATGCCCAGACACCTGAAGGAAAGCAAGACACTGCTGTTGTTGCTGTTGGTGCAGTCGTTGCTACTGGCACCGTTGTTGCTCCTGGTGCTATATTTGCTGTTGTAACAGTGCCGTTCTTACCTCGACTTTAGGGGCCCAGTGATTCTCGTTGGGTTTGAAGCTAGGAGAAGAAACTTGAGACTGCTTACATGCGTCTCAAGAGAACGCCTCAGTGCATGCTGGGCCCCCTCACTAAGCAAATCCGCATCCTGCAAAACAACCACTAACCCCAGCACAAGGCCAACACCACAAGCCACATGGCCAGAAAGCAACAAAAGGCGAGGCTGCGAAGTACTGCGGACAGTCATCTGCTTCTGCTTCTGCGTAGCTAACCAACCATCATAAGTAGGACTTAATACGATGAACCTCTCCAGTGCAAAGTTTTGGCATTGTTAGCAACGCCCGACCCTCGGGAACAACGCCGCCCACAGCTTGAACTCTCAGCCTTACCCTTAAAGCGCTTTTGTTTCTTCGCGGTAGAGAAAAAAGAGGACGCGAGCGCCGCCTGTGGCGCCGCATCAACGAGAGAGCGAATGATGCCTTGTACTATCACGCGGTCTCTTAGCCCAAATTCAGTACACGATACTGTAGCACAAACAAGACCCCTTCAGCTCCAAAGAGCATTATACCAACTCTAAACCCTACCATTCGTCCGACAGTGCACGCAGGCCACGCCATGTGAGAAGTTTGCAATGCTGTTACTCAGACTTGCCCATTACCCACCAGCAAGAGCCCTAAAGCCTGAATTCTACACGCTTACGGATAACATGGCAACTGGACTGGCAAACTGTCGCCTCCGCGTTGCTTTCCTTTTCGACAAAGGTTTCCACGCGAACCTTGTAAGCAGACACAACATCATTTAAGGCAAGCCGTGTTGCCCCAAAACATTCGTGAAGCGTCCGGGAAAGGGGGCGCTGTGTGCACCTCGGCCAGAACTGGGTTGAGGCTTCATGGGGTTGGACGGCATACCTTGTCGACCTCATCTCCAAAGATCTCCCTGAGAAGGGCTAAGGCCCTTGTCTTCTTGCCCGCACCACTTGGGCCATAGAACAGCAAATGTGGCAGCGAATCGTTGGCTGCAAGCTGCGGTGTACAGAAGCCCACCACCAACACCTAAACAGTATGCCGTATACCCTCAATATTTAACGCTGCATGGGGCTCTCATCGTGCACATAGAGGCAAGAAGCAGCAAGGGGCACGAGCGAATGGACCAAAGGAGAGAAGTGTTTGAAGCCGAAAGGATCCGATGTAAGCTTTAACGTGCGGAGCCCAGGGCTTTGGGCACTGGCCTTTGTACACTCACGCTGCGCAGCAGAGGTGTTAGGTCCTTGTGGCAGTCAAGATCGCCCAGGCGACGAGGCGCGTGCTTATCTACCCACAACATGCTTGCCAACCACCAAACGCTGAATGCCAACTAATCACCAAGACTTGCACCGTAGGCTAGAGCTGCCTTTTCGGGATGGTGAGGATGGAAGCTGGCTCGTAGTCTTCGGTTTCAAAGCAACAACAAAGTAATATTACGGTGTATTTGTAGACGTTGCACGTTCTTCCTTGGAGGTCCATATGTTTGCAGACAGCAGCAGCTGCTGCTGCAGTCTGGTAAGCAGCACCTCCACCAAGTACAGGCTTTACGAGAGGACCAGCAAGACACTACAGCACAAATTATAGATATTTCAACCATTATTGGCGCTGGTAAGTGCTGTAGCGGTGGCGGTTGAGGTGGCTGATGCTGTTTGCCTCGGGTGTTCGGGTCGGTGGGTCTGCGCAAAACCACAACTGCTAAACTCCAAGCCCTATATCCCACAACTTTTTGCTCACGCGTTCAGTCTCTCTCAACACACATCCATCATACTCGAAGTCATCATCCCTCTAGTGTTGCCGTTGTACAGGGCCCCTCCCACCGAGGCTCAGCCATTCCTTCTGCATCGAGGCCGCGTCCGCATGCACACCTACAAAACCAGAAAGGCCACCGACTAAAGATGGAGCGGGAGGTGCCTCCTGTGGCTGAGGATCGCCCTCTGAAGGTGCAGCGTCTTGGTGATAAGGGAGAGCCGGGCATCACCGGGCGTGAAGCTGCAGATGGTGATAGCAGCAGCAGCGACCCCTGGGGAAGCACTGACTCTGTCCCCCCGCCCAAGCCTAATGCCGGATGCTCCATAGCAAAGGCTGAAGGCACCAGCGGCAGCAGCGGCGACACTAACGATGAGACCAGCTTCAGCGACCGCGACACCGAGCTGCAAGTTGCATGGGCGGAGACCGAGTACAAGAATTGGACGGTGAATTCTCAGGTGCTGTACGACGTGCTCCTGAACATTCCACTTGACTGGCCTTCTCTGACTGTGGAGTGGCTCCCGGGAATAGTCAAGTAGGCACACTCATAACCCCAGTCCCCGATCTAGTTGCTACGAAGGACGCCAAGTCTATTGCTTGGGGAGAACAGGGGTCTTGGGGGCAATGCGACATCCCATGAGAACGAGGGCATCCAGGGCACATAAAGTGTACCTCTCCTCTGTCCCCCATGCTTGGAGGTTTCGGTCTGCTGTGGCCCCCTTGCAGGTGCTCCGGCACTTCCGTAGTGAAGCAACGGCTCTTAGTAGGAACCCACACAAGTGGCGTGGAACCGGACGCCCTGGTAGTCATGCAGGTGATTCTGTGGGGTCCAGGGTTGAGGCACTGGATATACACTTTTCGCTGGCCCTAGGCGCGAGGTTGAGGCGGACCGCGTAGGGATTTGGTTTGGTGTGGCGAAGGTGGAATTGCCGTTGGGGCCGTTCGAAGAGAGTCAGAAAAACGAATACAAAGAGCGAGGCGGTGAGTCTCACTCGCTGAAACAGTGAAGCTGTTGTGGATTGCCTTACGACGTCGCCTCTTCCCGTAGCAAAAGACTGTGTGTATCCGGTGTAGGAGGTTGAAGGATTGGTACGGTGTATAGGACTGTGTGGTGCAGACTACGAGGGCTTCCAATTTGGCCTGTCTTCGTACAAAGTGAAGGTCCTAAAGCGGCTGCCCCACCCAAAGGAGTCCAACTGGTCAGGCGAGCCTGAACCCTCCCAAGCCTCCCACTCTAGCCCTTCAACTCCGCTATCCACGACTTAGTCTGGTGCCACAACCCCTTCATCGCTTCCGGACTGTATGGCTGGAGGTGAAGGATTAGGGCTATGGTATGAGGCCTGGTTATCGGGCTTTTGGGCTTGGGGTATGTGATGATGCAGCGCGCGGCATATGCCACAAAGACCCGCCGTAATTGCCAGCTGTACGGTCGATGGAAGAGGTCAGCTGCACTCTAGAGGAGGTCCTTGAGGGTTGCACTTGCACTCAGGCTCCAGCAGAACCCTCCCTTGCCCTGGAGAGGCGGAAACATTTGGCGTTGACTTTCTGTCCGCATCTAGGCACTATGGTTTGGGTTGTGTGTGCATGTATGTACACAGTCCTGTTGTATGACCTGGAAGCTGCCGGTATCTGTGAGGGCCCCGAAGCATCGCTGATTGGCCACAAGGGCGAAGCGTGAGCAAACAATCTACGGTCTTGAGGTCTCGGGGTTTTCGGGCATCTGATGGAGATTAAGCGCTCGTCATTAAGGTGACGAATATGTGTTCAGGACCTCTTTGAGTTGGAATATCTATCGAGAGGGTTATGTTGCCTCCTGCGGAGCAGAGGGCACTCTGGCAGTCCACGACGCCTCCAATGCGTTACAGTCCAAGCGTAAGTCCTGAATCGTTGCATTATGCCAATTTTAAAATTCATATTCCCTCTGGTTCCCGTAGGACCCAGCCAGCACCACAAGGACTGAGGCGTGAAGCATAAGGCTTGCAAACTACGGATGCTGCAGCTGCGGGGGGCTCAAAGAGTCTGTTCCTCGCTGAGCAAGAGGCGGGTTCAAATTCGACATGCTGGGCAGAAGCAGACCTACTGCTGGCTGCTTCAGAAGACAGCGTCGTCTCGCTGTGAGCAGTTAGCGGTTGGGGTTTACGGTTTGGGCTCGACTGTATTACAACAACCTGTGGGTATTTTGTAGGGAGTCGTTCTATCCTCCACGCCTCGTCGCTACGCGCGCGTGTATCGTACTGCCTTTCTATAGTCGGATCTGGGGTTCATTCGAGTTTACGGTTCAGGATTGGGGTCTTTTGTCTCTATGCAGCTGGGATATCCGGGCGCCTCCAACAAAATCTGTAGCTAAGGTGAGGCCCAAGTCTGTCAATATTTGGTGCTTCCGTGTGTGCCTGGTTGTTTCTGGGGTCTCGTAAAGCTGGAATCTAACATCATTGCGTTTGTATATCAGGTCACCTGCGACGGGAAGGCTGTGAATTGCGTGGCCACCAGCAAGCTGAAGCCCGAGTTGTTCGTGTGTGGCGGCGACGACGGGGTCTGTTTAGTGTTGGGGCCAAAGGGGTACAGGTTTTGACTGTCTCCTAGAGCTTTATCCTAACGCTTTATGTGGTTGTATGTGTGGCGTAGCCTCCACTATTCCTCCCCGATCAGGAACCTAGGGATCTCATGTTTGGTATTGGATTTTTTACAGTTCGCCGTGTACTTCATTTCTAGGCACGCATGCATACGTGTGTATGTATGCATGTATGTATGTATGTGTGCGTGTGTGAATGCGTGTGCTCGTTTGCTTACTGTATCGGTAGGTCCTGCGTTTATACGACCGTCGCCGTTTAGAGTCTTGTGCACATGAGATGGAGGCACATGGTGGTTCAAAGGCTTCAGTTGTTTCCTTCTCCCCCTACAAGCCGTCGCTCTTCCTCAGCGGAGGCTACGACAAGGGCGTTTCTCTCTGGGACTTGGAACAAATCGGAGCAGACCAGGATCCGGAAGACGCAGAGGATGGGCCTCCGGAACTGCTCGTAAGGGTTTAGGTCATGCTGTCAAGTGTATCCCTGATGTTGGCTGTACAGGGAGATCGGGGGGGGCAGGTCTGTGGAAAGGCAGGCAGCTGATTATCACGAGTGTCTCACGCGGATGAGCAAACGAAGACTATATGCAAGCTGCTTTCTGGACTTTTGTGTGCCCACACATCGACAACTTCAGTTTACGCATGGAGGACATCGCGCCGATGTGTATGACGCTTCCTGGAACTGCGAGGACAATTTCTCGCAGGTCAGATTCACTCAAAGAGTTTTACTCTGCTGATTTTCGCAAAATAATTGTGAGGGTGTTCCAGTATTCAGGGCTTAGTATGTAGGATTTACCACGTGTAGGGTTTGCCTCTTGAAGTTCAGGGCTTTTTTGTGGCCTTGTTGATTTTGTCTACAGATGGTAGCGTCTGTGGCGGATGATAACAAGCTGCACATTTGGCAACCCGTAAGACATCCCATGCACCGAAACCCGAGCCCGTACACAACAACCCCAAACCTGCAAGCCAGAGCCCTAAACTTGCCAGATTCATAAACTTGGGGCCGGTGCTGTGTGCTCTTTTTCTCTCAGAAAGCCTCGGTTTTCTTTGACAGTGAGAGCGAAGCAGAGGATGATGGAGTGCATTTGGAATAAATGCAGTCACAATGTGCTGAAGCCCAAGGGTTCAGCATAGAGGCGTATGTTTTTGGGTGCAACTCAACTAGCTGTTACCCTCTTCACAGGCTCCAGGGCGACTAGATGAGATATCCTGCAAGAGCAGCAAGGACGTGCAGGGTCATCGAGGGACTCAGAGACGTATCTTTTTGCCTACTCCTCTAGCCATGACTTTGCTCATCTTCTCTTGAGTTGCTTCATCCCATTTAGATGATCGTACTTGGGGTGCCTGTAGGCGAAAGGTACACAGCAAAAGGGGAATTTACGACCCTCTTGAAGGAAGCCGAACCCAGTTTCTTAAGCCCATTTAGCAGCCACACTTTTACGGGCCATAGTTCCCAGGATGTAAACTTGTAGAGGTGTTGGAATAGCCCTTTGTAGGTAAAATCTATGTTGATCTTCCCCAGCATAACAAAAAAGGGGATATTGGGCCCTTTTTGCTGAAAGACTTCAGCGTGTGCGGACCAACTTAAGAGTCTCTGCTCCGGATCTAGGATCCGAACTCGAGTAAGGCTTGACAGGCAGCAGATACATGGCTTTACTAGCTACATTACTGCATATGAACTTCTGGTTGCAAGACCCCTATTTCAGTCAGAATGTATACGGAGTTCCACATTTTATTCGTTGGAAGCCTTCATATGGGCTACACGGGTCTTTCAAGGCTGCACCCTTTTGGGGGAATTATTCGCCTCCCAAGCATCCTGCAGGACACTATTAGTATTGCCTTAGAAGTTTCGATGTACCAGATTAAGCTGCACTTAGGAGGCTGGTGGTTGGTATGCCTTCTTTATTTTGGAGCAGCGCTCGCTCGACAGAGGAAGACGCAAGACTGTGTGCAGTTACGCTAGGTGCTTGATGCAACCAGCTATGAAAAGCTAGGAGTGCATATTAGATCGTTCCTCTCCCCTTCCCCTTATGCCAGATTGATGAAGAACGTGGACAGAACGCGGAGGTTTTGGGGAAAACACTCAAAATCTTGTTATCAAGTATATACTGAATCTGGAGTAAAATGTTTTCTTTTTACGGAGATCATTGATGGAGCGTTACAGTCGGTAGTACACCATGGTTCGATGTGGCTGTCTTCTGCTCATCCACTCACTGTAAATGGAGTCATACGCTTGGCGTCCCTTCAGGCAGCTGTCTAGCTTGAAACAAGTCTTTTGATGATTCAGGACTTTTATGTTCGTAGAGAGAAGTCTGATTAAACCCTCTGGGGATAGAATTGAACGGGGGCGCAAAGACTGTTTGGGCGGCAAAAGTTGAAGTGCAAAGTGATGTATACGTAGTAGCTTTACGCCTGGTACAAAGGCATGATTTGCCAGCCAGCGATATGCTTAGAGTGTTGAGGAGGTTGGGCGAACCAGAAGAATATGATGATCGAAGGGCTGATCAGCTACTCGAAGATTTCATCAGCGGGTTGGAGCCACTCGCTGTTTGTTTTATATATGTAGAGGCATAAGCACTTCTTTGAGTATGTTAGGTGGAAGGAGGATTACTCTTAACCAAAGCCCTAAAATCTAAGAGAAAGTCGCCTGCCTGCAAGAGTATGTCCTGACTCACCGGTTCTACCCAGATATCACGCCAACAGAAAGCTTAGCGAAAAATCAAGGAAACCGAAGCGGGTCAATCTACCAAAACATTGCTATATCATGGCTAATGAAGTCATGGTTTGCAAAAGCCACATCCTTGACGAACAGCTTTTTTCTATGGCTGGTTTATATCAGGTCTACCGAAGCATCACGTCGAGTGGTCGTAGGATAGCAGCGACTCGGCGGGCAAGCAACAGATTAGTGTGACATGTGCAAACGATAGTCTACATGGGTTTTCAGGGGCGTATGACCGTATGCATGCGTTTGTGATTTTAAAAAATGCCAAAATAAAAATTCGAAACTACGGTTGCCAGGGCTATATGAAGCGGCCCTAGCCTACAGTCTAAGGCGAACGAGAAAAGAAAACTATCGGGAGCTCCACGCGCCTAGCAGCCCCAGACAGTCACCCCAACAACACATGTGCTGCTATTTTGATTATTGGGTCGTACAACCCGGAATCGTAGGCACGTGGAGAGCCCGTCAAACGTGATCAACGGGAGTAGGTTTGGCAAAAGCAGTCTGCTCGGCGAGAAGAGAAAGTCGCATCAGAGATTTGGAAAGCCCGCCTCGAAGGTTGGGTTGCATTGCATGGGGTTACAGAGGAAAGGACCGCATTTGGGGCCCCACTACGAGTCATTTTTTTATCGATACAGTTCGACGTAAGTGGCCAAGGAGGGATACTGTTTCTTGACACTGGATGTGAATTAGATATGTTATCCAGTGAGATGGCACAGCAGTGCAGTCCTCATGTTCACTCTTTATCATAGTCCCTAAGATTGAGGCTTCTGACCGGGCCGGAGGCCTTAAGCTTTGACACGGCTAAGGGAGCTAACTGGCACTTCAAATCGGACTCCACTCAATCATTTTGCTCTGTAACGTTTTTGTTGATATCATTGCATAATTTTGGATAAGCCGTCAGTGACATAATGGAATTTGCGCATGCCCCCACACCTGTGCGCTACGAAGGTTAGTGTGCCGGGAGGCCCCAGGAAAAGCAGCTCTTGACATCCCCAATAACGCTGATTGTATCTATGGTAAGTGGGGTAGAGTGAAAACCTCAACAAGGTGAGGGAAAGCCTTCTTGCTGGTGGCGCAGCAGTGCAGTAGGACAAAACGGTTCTGAGCACGCACCACATCTTAATGGTTATGCACCACCTTCTTTTCAATGTGATTAACCTCCAGTTTCTGCCAGAAATTGCATGACAAAGGTAAACAACAAGGGAAATTTGAATTGCTAAACAATGACAAGCTGAGAGCAGGCTGGCGGCCTGCTGGTCGTGCACCGGACTTTACGAAAATACTGCGCGTGTCAGCCCCGCGATCTGTTCCGCGATAGCGGAGGCCGCCAAAACAGCGAGCAGAGACTGAAAGATAGGCGGACAACATGTTGAAAGAAGGCACGATGCAGGACTTGACTGATGCTTTGGGGCATGACCCGGTGCGGTTACTCAAAAGGACTGAAAATGGAGCATGTGCATGGAGCTCCTCGATAAGATCATCGGGAAGAGGTTCTCGATACCTCAGCTTGGAGAATGAATACAATATCCATTCACCCCGAAGACCGGACTATATCGGTGGTACATTCGCACTAGCAAGCTCTAGAATACCTATATGCCGCCTGGATGTGTCAATGCTCCAGTTGAACTGCAACAGCAAGTTGACGAAGACTTTTGCAAGCCTATCAAGAAAGGTTAGATTGATGCTTACATTTATGGCGTTTTAGTCTTTGGCCGAAACGTTCAAGAGCACCTGACGCATGCACGGCTTTCTCAGCTGTTGCAGGATAAGCAGTAGTATGTCAGGGCACGTGAGTTTTCTTTTGATCCAAACAGTTGTATTCCTGTCAGTCCGTGCTTGGGGCTCAGGCGTTGAGGCAGATTTGGCCAGAATTGAGACAATCAAGGCGTGGTATTTGCCCTTGCAAGGCTGCAAGGACTTTGCGAAGGTCTATGAGGGCTGGTATCGTATGGCCGATCGATCACTTCTGAGTTTTCTCAGACTGCATCTCTTTTCACTGGTTTACCTCAGAATTTATAGTCTTTGACCCGGATATTGAAGGCTTGTGCGGCAGGAAGGACGCTAATCAGGCGCGTTACAACTCGTCCGAAACTCGCGCTGTCCGATCATGTACGCCATTTTCCCACACGAACCGGCGCTGCTGGTTAATGGTGAATGCTAGCCACAACGGAACATAGATGTCAGGTATGGGAAAAAGAGCTTTACGAATTGTGTCAGTGGGTGTGAAACACGGTGACTATTTAGTGAGCCGTCGTTCTACTCTTCAAATCGGCCATCAATCCACAATATACCCGATGAGGGCCTTCCAGTACTTTGATAATCCTAATAATTCATTGGTTTTAACGATTCGTGCAATACGAACTTAGAGTCAAAAATACTAGAGCGTCACCAATGTGGAAGCAGGCGCACTCTCGCGACACTGCAGAAATTCAATGTTGTGCAGCGCAACCGCTCTTGTCTGTGATGAAACAGAGGTTCTACCGAGGTTGCGTGAGCCTAATGCTTTGGAACCTCATACATGCTTTACTATTGCCAAAATGTATAATGGCAAAAGGGCGAGGCACAATCAAGTTCAGGATGGCCTGCTATGGCTCAAAGCAAAGTGGAGACTCCGTCGCATATACGCCAGACTTCCTTCCTCAGCGCCGTTGTGCATACAGCGCACAATTCTGCTTTTTCGGGCCATGCTGCGATTGATCCTGCAGTGAGGAAGCTCTCATGTATCTTTGAGTATTTTGAGATGCATGCCGCGGCAGAGAAGTATGCACTATCATACCTACAAATGCAAGCTGGTGCCACTCGATGCTCCTAAACCGGGCCTTTTGCAGAGCTTTCGGTTCCTAAACAAATTTGGACTGATATCAGTGTGTACGTTGTTGCTAAACTAATGAACGACAAGTTTCTGAAATAACGGCGTTGTCGACAAACTTTGCTGGTATGCTCATTTCATCTGGTGCCGAAGCTCGCCACGGCTCAGGAAAACGCTCAAATACCCTTGACTCATGCCTGAAAACATCAAGGAAGCATTACGGAACAGATCCGACGTCTATTGGTGCGTAATAGCGTGCCCTTATGATCCTCTATAGATTTGTCACAATAACTACTGTGAATTATATAGTAGGGGATAGACGACCAAAGCGCATCAAATGCACTTTTCTGGAGCGATTGTGACTCTGTCCTTGCAAAATTCTAGTGACTGGCTTACTGATTTTCCTTTCGTTGAGTGGGTCAATGAATTAACCGTACAGTTCCCTGTCCTTTGATCTCTCTCATTCCCGGTCTACACTGAGAAGCCCCCGTTCGTACGGGGCCTGAACCTGGGGGACATAGCTCAGCAGCAACCCTTAGTAGCGGAGGGATATGGAGCCAAGCTGACAACTGCACGCGAGTGTATGTGCAGAACCCAAGAGGGGCAAGCACGAAGGCATTCTATGGGGCAATCGGTTGTGTGTTTGTTTCCTGGAGATTTGGTCCTGGTGGATGAGCTGGTCGATGAGATGCACTACAAGGTGATCAGAAGGGTGCGACCCAGTGGCTGGAACCCAATTGCGGTTTTCCAAGGAAGGAATACGCATTCTTACTCAGTCACTTTCCCTAGATTAGAGGTGTCGCAGGAAGATTAATATTGGTTTTCTACAGTAGTTCGGAAACTTCCCGAGCTAGTCGTAGTTTGCCGCGCACCGTGTGGTGGCGGAGGCAGTACAAGGAGCCGTAGAAGCTGGCTGATATGTCATCGCAGCTCGATAGTCATTACATTAGCAGAGCTCCTAGTGAAATGGACTGGGACCGGGAACCTCACAGGTTGAAGGATGCGCAATGGCGGGGTTCGTGGCCAATGGGAGAATCTGCTGTGTTTTCCTTATAGAGACGCTAGTTGCCATGCGGGTTTTCCTTGCATTCTTTGATAGTCTCCATCACAAAACCTGGCCTTACATGAATTGATTGCCTTTCTGTATAAGTGTTGCTCGAAGAATGGCCGTTGGGTTTTCGATATCTTGTCTGTATGCGCATTCATGCGCGCAGACACTCTAATGCCTGCAATCTTTCTTGTGCTTCGCCTGTGGTGTTGCACTCAATGATACTGCATAGACCAGCGATGTCGCATAGATTCACTGCTGAACTACTCATTTCCCTTGTTTTCTCTCTCAACGCGTAGCGGAAGGCTCGCATTTCAGCGCACAGACGACAGCAAGCCAAGGCCCCCCGCAGTCCTTTTATTTCGGTCTAACCTTCGCTGTTGGCTAATGTATGCCTTTCGTACCTTAAATTTAACTGTATTCGATGATACACATTTGCTTTTCGTCTTTGCACTGTTTTCCCGTTTCTGCGTGACTGGCTGGCGATCGGGAAGGAACTCTTCTGCGGTTTTATACACAGTTTGTCTCGACACCGGGGTGGGGAAAGCAAATTCGAGTGGTTTTAACTGGGTGGGAGTGGCGATGATGGGGTGTGGGGGTTAGCTACACTAGCACACTTCCTACTACGCTGCTGATATTGAATTGTGAACTAGCAAAAAGTTGATTAGCCCCTTGGTCAAGTCATATACAATTAATTGCAAAGTGCTGATGGCTAACTATACACCGAGACGCAGTGTTGTGTGGGTGTGCACTAGCTGCTACGCGCAACCATGTGTACATGCGATCGGTAGTAGTGCTTAGAGGCTGCAGCTACGCTTACCCTAGTTGCCCTTTCCCCTTATGTCTGGAAGTATGAACGGCGAGGGCGATAGAAGGCGGAGTTCACCTGCAATAGTGCTTTATACCTTTGTAATAACCTTGTATTAAGTCTAGAGCTCAGTGTCTCTGTGGAGGCTTAACACGGAGCGTTGTCCGCTAGGAGACCAATGGGCTCATCCACAGGCAGAGTTTAAGAGCATTGGTGACCTCTGTGAATAGGATGAGAAGCTTAGCTTTCAAGGGGACTATCAAGAGTCCTGTCTAATTCTAAGAAATCTTGCTGACAAACGCATGGGATATAGAGTTTACTGGACGAGTGAGAATTTGAACTGTCTGGGTTGCAGTGCCTTGGAGTCTGTAGAAGTTTCACACGAATTCGTGAAACGAGAAAAGCCTTGAACGTAGAAAGAAGTATGCCATAATGCTGCTATTTGTGCTGTGTTAATCTTGCTTTCCTCATTTTTCACTCTGCGTCCACTGAGAGGAGGCCATGGTGGAGGGTGGCGTGGCAACAAGGAGTCCGTAAAACTCAATATCTGACGCACAAATCAAGATAACAAAATAATCGCACATGCAACAATCCCTGCAAGTAACAAGAGGTACCGTAGAAGAAGAGTAGGAAACATTGCGCACCATCATGCAGGTTTGCTAGGGAAACCCTCCTGAACATCGAGTGTGGATTGGTTACGCCCGGTTTCCGCAAGACACCCAGAAAACATATATGAGCTGTGCCTTATCTTCAAGTATTATCACGAATATGCTTTGTAGCCAGCTCACCTTCCCCCTTATTTAAGAATCGCTCAAAAAGGACCCTTGTCCTCAGTTACCATCGAGCGCTTCCGCTACTGAATGCGCGGGGGGCACCGTCCTTCCACGCTTGTCCAAAATCAAAGCCATCATCCATTTTCCGTCAAAGTTCCCATTCGTGGAACATTCTTTCCTGCCTAGTGAGGTAGCATCTACGCGGGTCTGTCAATGCAGATTTAAGCGTCTCGGCGAGCTAGCTGGACGGCCTGCTATTCCCTTCCTTGCTGCTTTTCTGCCCCCTGTATCCATTAGGAGCCATCCACCATTTGCAAAAGCCTTCTGTTCTGTCTCTTCTAAATTGCTTGGAAAGAAGCCTGCGGCCACCTCCCCCGTCCCTTCTCAACCTCAGCGGCTCGCAAGTTCCTGGAAGAAGTCGAGACGTATTTTATTCGTAATCCATCGACTACCTTTAGAGGTTTATTGTTATTCTCTCTTATTGGGCCTGGAGTTGTTTCCCCGCAATTGCAATTACAGGGGGTCATTGTCCTTCCGTTGACCCCCGCAGGGTTTCCACATTGTGGGTGCAGCTACTCAGGCTGCTGTATTACTGTCTTCTCATGCACTATGCAGCAGTGAATTGGGTGCGATCACTCCACAATGAAGTGCTCCTGCTTCTTTCTTCTCTCTTGGGGCCCGCAGAAGCCCCAATTCCCCTGTCCCATGTTTTGGCTTTTTCCTGTCTTATTTTTTGCTTCGGCTCTCCTGGACAGTGGTTGGGGATTATGTACATCTATGCAGGGACTCCATCAGGGTGCCTCTAAGGATGACAGCTTCCCTGGGATGGCAGATGTTTCTTTTCAAAGGACAACGCAGCCGGTGGTCTTGCCGCAGACACAGAAAGTGACGGTATACCCCCACCAAAACAGGGAACCCGATCTCTCACCTTTTTCTACTTTACACCTTGTAAGGCACGCGTTCCCCTCATCTAATGCTCGTAAATGCCTACCTCTCTAACCAGGTCAAGACAGCTTGCTAAGTGTTAAGCGAGTCTTTGGCCACTTGTAGGCTAGCAGCTGCAACTGTTCGGACCAGAACTTGAATAGTTCTACTGTGTATTGTGGTTGTGCGGCGCTTTTTGCTTCTTATGCTTGTCCCTAAACCTCTTCGACTTCAGCCAACGCGGATAGCAGCGAGGCCCTTTGTGGACTCGACGAGCTTGACGCGTCCAGATCTGCACGCTCTTGGAAAGGAAAGGCGTAAAAGTCTTATTGGAAAAGTAGGTGGAGCTTCACCAAAAAAGAAAGCAAGAGAAAACAGTCGACTAGCCAATCAGAATTCTGCAAGCAGCGTCAGCAGCAAGACGAAGGGGGCTACTTTTGACGCCGGCACTGCGAGACTGGAGGAACTGTATAGCGCCCTTGATGGGCCACTTGCCACCAGCAAGGGTAAAAGCCGTGCGACAGATCCCGCCAGCATCGACCAGCTGAAAGATAAGACCACAAGTTCTCCCAAGGTATCGCACAAGAGCCAGCAGTCAGAGATGACACCGTCGGCGTCAGCAAAATCTGTGCAATTAAGAGTGAAGAAGCGTAAACCAACTTTCAAAGCAAAAACGGCAACAGCGGACGTGTCAGGAAAGTCAAAAGCAGAAGCAGATCCATTCAAGGGCATGGAAAACGTGGAGGAGCCTGTAACAGAGACGCGCAAACGGCGAAGCCTTGAACAGACACAACTGGCTGCGTCAGATGCGACCCTGGGTGGAAGGTTTGCAGGAGGCCTTGTGGGAACCATAGGCTACGAAGACGGCTTGGCCGGGGCAGGTATTACCGGGTTACATACTTTGTCTGGGGGAGCAGCTCAGGAAGGCGATGGCAACGACACCCTGTTTACGCTGTCTCACAGTACCACTGGGGAATCCAGTACCAACGAAAGCAGCACTTCAGACAAATGGATACCCGATCCCAATGACAGTAAGAAACTTAAATGCAAATGGTGCACCTTACGTCTTATTCATTTGTAAGATTTCCGAAAATAATCGAACAGCTTTTCCTTGCGACGTTCTTGCCGCTCTCTAGATATATTTGTTCTCCACAGCCGCCTCTTGCTGGCGACGAATTCGTACGCTTGGTGCTGCGGTGTTTATATAGCCGATTGGGAAAACCAGCCAAGTGAAGAGGAAAATCTACTTGCGATGCAAGCAGCGCGAGACCTTGCAGCTCGAAGAGAAGAGAGAAGGCGCACAGAACTGCAGGTGTATCAGCAAGAAACAGAGGAAGAAGACGTGTACAAGAGGGCTACAGAGGTTTCTCCAGGCTTTAGTACGTCTGATGCGATTGCATTAAATGGGGTTCAAGCTCGGCAATTGGGGTTGGGCGACGGATTGAACGTCAAACAGTATATTGCTGCGGGCTTGGAGATTAGACTGCTACAGCGTTCGCCGGCTTGGGCGGCAGCGATACTTCCTAGCGTCGCGACTCGTATCCCGGGGACAGTTTACGACTTTCGGTCTAGCCTTAGGTTCTGTTTGGTCAAGACCTGAGGGCCGAAGATCTGCTGTGTCCATGTGCAGATTACCTAGGCATTGGCTACGATGCCATTAAAGGCAACCCATTGGGTGACCCGAACCTGATGGGGGATCCTGGTCTGCGCTCCCCAATCATCCGCTTTTACTTTCAGCCAGACGCCGAAGGGGTGTCCAGCGATCTAAGCGAGCTGCAGCCGCGTGGAGCATACAGCCGCCCCTTTGTGGCATGTAAGCAGTCCGAGAACTTGACAGAGGTCGCAACGATTTCGGATTATGTTAAGGAGTTAGAAACAGATGCCGCACTGGCCGGCGGAGACGCTGTTGGCCTTAACAGCTTCTCGGCCTCCGCAGCCTACACAGAGCTCGCGAAGAAGGCAGTGAAGAAGAAAACAAGGACTTTTCTCCTCAAGACGTACTGCCTTCGCTATGAAGCAGGACTTGCACAAACCGACAGCTTCAACTGGTACGCCGCTGATTGTCTTTTTTGGTTCACAACAGTCTTCAGTTTCTAGCCATGTGTACCTGCTGCTGCAAGAGAGGCGGACAAAGCATACCACAGAGAAACTGTTTGTTTAATCATTGGAGGCATCCCTACTCAGCAGTTGTGCTTTACGGTTCAGCATGTGGGCCTCCATATTTGTAGCTGTCCGACCGTGTTGTTTTTGCGACCAGGAACTACACAATGGCCTTTGATGACGCTGTGGATGGGTTACCTGAAGTATTTGATGGCAGTAACAACACAGGCTGCACTCCAACACTCTGGAGAGAAAACACCCATGACTCCCTGTGTAATAGTACGAATGTACGGAGGTGGATGGACTTTATAGACCAGTTTGGCACGCACTACATTGTCCGCCTCTTCGCAGGTAAGCAAAACAGCTTTTACACTTGGTACAGTTCTGTTTTGCTGTGCGATTCTTTCGTTTGGGCTAATTTGTGATGGGTTGGATTTTGTTGTGCAAATATTAATTGTGATAGTCGCCAGGGCATTCCCATTGATCCAGTAGTCTACTCAACATTACGAACCAGACTGCCTGACTGATGCTGAGTTTTATAATACTGGCTTTGGTAAACGAGTGCATGAGCGATAAACGCTTTGTATGGGTTTTCACAAGAGTCCTGTGTGCACTAAGTTGCTCTATACCTCTGCATTTTCTCTCCTAACAAGTTACAATTAAATGGCTCTATCTCGTGCTTGCAAAAAATGTTAGACGAAGCGTGGGTGTTTCCTCTATTCTTGTGGTTCACGTCTCTTACCCTAGTGCGAACACTTTTGTTTTCTGTGTCGTGTTTTTGAGGTGGGAAGCTGACGCATCAGATTACAATGTCAAATTCTGATATCGCCAAGATGAACAGTTCTGGAGTGAATATAAAGAGTGCGCTAAAGGCGACATTTGGGGTTGGTGGAGCGGCAGGTTCGGCCAGTGTTGCTCGGGACTCGGAGCAGAAGGAGCAGATGAAAAGGTTTAATTACGAGACTGAGACCCTAATTATGGGGGGCAGAGTACCTAGTGATGTCTCGGACCCGGACTCTATGGCAGATTGGTCAGATTCGGTTGAAGAACTGCCTATGCCGGTACGTTGATTTGTTTGAAAGTTTGTCTGGTGGCTGTGGTTATATTTTGTGGGGCTTAACTGCATAAGAAAAAACAGATAAGGTGCCAAATAAATATTCATGTTTTCTTGGCATATTCCTTATGTATGTATTATGATTGTCCTGAATATCTTTTGGCGTATGCCCCACCCGACTTTATCAAAGCATTGTTCTGTTTTGAGCCCTGTGGTTTTACTGTTTCCTGCCTTATTGAGGCTGTTTTTTACTGCATAAAACGCTCTGAGCACAAGGAGCATGACACCGCTTCCCTGTGTCGGTCAGGAACATCTATTGTGGATTGAAAGTTGACTGTCGTGATACTCTATGCAAATGCGATGTCCGCTTGCTCGAATGCAGGTTAAGATTACGCTGCAACCGTTGGGAAATCTCCTACCTGACAAAAAGAAAGAAGGATTCGAGAAAGCCTACAGGTTTTATGCAGAAGCAATTGGCATGTCGAAGTCTGACATCTCTGCCTTGGGCGGAGGAAAGGCGCAATCTGTAGGGGAAGCGGTGAGTTCCAGTTGCTATTGGCTCCAAAGTTTAAGCTTGAGGGGCCATGGCTTTCATGGCAAATAGCGGTCAGCAGCTTCGTCACTGGCACCACATATAGGATATGCTTGAGATACCACAGCACTTATTAAGCAATAGTTGACTAGAATGATCTTGGACATACGGTGTAAGAATGGCCTGTTCTGTCTTATCTTCTTCAGCTACGAAGCGGAACTCAGATGATGTACGCTGGTGATCCCCCCGGGTATATAATGTGCCCGCTGCATGAGAGGATCATGTTGGGCTTCGCTTTGCAACTAAACTTCTACGAGATAAATGGAATTAAAAAAAGGGCAGCCATGAAGTCCTGTGCCCCTGGCAGGTGAGATAGACAAGGAAACATCCCAATGCGATTCCATTAGGATCAGCTATCCCCTTCAGTTTGGTTTTTTAGTAGAACTCTGCTTGCTCTATTGCACTGTCACTAAGTTAACGCATTCGTGTAATCTATCGTTTAGCTTCGATTTCCCTCGACATCTTAAAAGCACTAAACCCTTTAAATTGTCGACTACTACACTTCTCTACTGTTTTGGCTTTTTGTGTCTTCCTTCTTCTTGACCGTTTGCTTCGCCTCCTTTTTTTAAATTTGGAAGGCTATGCTTGTTTGTAGTGTCTGTGCTTGTCAGTACGGCAGATACGTGTGACTTTCGTGTTAGAATGGGCTCGTTTCACTGTACTGTAGAGCATCTGCTTCAATTTTCCCTGTGCTCGCTTTAGAGACAAATGCGACGGTCTAGAGCGGCCTGCAGAAGAAGGTGATGATGCGCGTATTTATGCTCTATGCGGCAGCGAGCCAATAGCGGGGCTTGAGCAGGTTGTGGCTCAAAACGCAATGGTAAACTGCTAATCCTAAATCATCAACTGTCTCTTGGATATGGATAGAGGTAGATAACGTGCGGATTAGGTGCTATCCGGATACGTTTTGTGCGCTGTTGGCCTCGCTGTGTTGCAGAGAGCAGTGGCCGTCTGCCCCGAGGGATCAGTGATTCTATCAGGATTTGGGCTGTCTCTAACTGGGGGTAGAGCAGGTGCCGCTCAGACTCTCCTCGTGCCTTGCCGGGCAGGTCAGTTTTTTCTGTCACAGAATATGCGTCCGGCTTCATTTTGGTAGAGTCAGGAGTTGAAAAGTGTAGTGGCGATGCAACGGCTAGTGATTTAAGCTACACAACAGACGGCCAGTGTACAAAGTACAGATTGAGGTACCTTTACTTGTATTGAGGGTTGCAGTGGAGGCACTATCTGATAGTGGAATGAGGGACAAAACACTCGGACATGAACTGCGTTTGCTAGGTGTTTGAGCCGCAATGTTTTGGTGCGCACAGGTTTTAGCTGTAAAGACGTATATACTTGAACGTGCATATCTGCATGCTATTGACCAATCAGTTAGCGCATTGAAGTGTATTTTTTAAAACGGAATCTCTTTCATGCAATTGTTTCACCAGCTGTGTATTTTTGCTTCCTTTCGGAAAGTCTTTCTCCACGGAAGTCCAGTTATCTGCCTCAGGGCGCGTACACGATTTATAGCTGCGCAGTCCCTCCTTCCTTGATGTTGGGTACACCACACCGTATGAGTTTACACCGTCTATCGGAGAGCGTTGCTAACGGCCACAAGTCAATGCCTAGCATGTTTCCTTGTATGTTGGGCGTTTGCTGCCCAGGCCTCAACAGTTGCACGGCCCTGGGGCCAATGGGCACCGAGCAGAACTTGGTGTGGATTGCCTGTGTAGACGAAAAGACGCCTGGCCTCCAGGTACGTGGTAATGAGCATCCCTGGTGATGGGAAGGTGGACGTAGCGTATCCCCCTGAGGTTGCGATCCTAGGGCGGGGATCAACCCCTGGAGATATGCGGTTTTATTTTTTTTGTCCGTCCGTCTCATTCTTCATCTTATTGTGTGTGCATCCATATCTTCATTTTCTCTATTTTGTGGTATTGTCCATTTTCCTGCTCCTCGTCGTTGCTTCCTACTTTCAAGGTCTGGGATTTTCTGGCGCCACTGTGTTTGTTCTCACTGCTGCATGTTCTGTTTCGGGCTTAAGTTTGCTTCTGTGTGTGTGGTGCTGTTCGTTTCTGCTCCTGAGCCTCCTTCGTCTGCTGCTCATGCGTTTGCTCCTTTTCATGCCACACATTTTCCTAGGCTCTTAGAGCAACAACTTCAAGGCTCTATGTGCGTATGCTTTTATCTTGCGTAGCTGATTGTAAACGAGGGCACTAACGTAAACGCCATTGCTACAAATAATTTGGAGCAAGATGGACAAGTTTCGGTAGAATGCCCAAGTCCCCTTGGTATCGCCCTAGGTGAGACAGCAGCAGGTAGTGTTAACTTTACGCTCAGCACTGAACATATATACTATTGGTAGTTGTGTAGTTTTCCAGCATTCGGTAGAACGATACCACTGAAATCCAAACTATCTAAACGTACGATAAGAGTTCATCGAACCGACAACCGGAGTTGTATGTACATCACGGTGTTGTTTGGTGTGTATGTAATTGCGACTGCATGCCTGCGTGTATCTGTGGCTACCTCACAGGGTTTGTGATGGAGATTCACACAAGATTTAATAAAGTAAGGGATCGGTTTCGCGAATGCACAGATAATGAAGTGAAATGCTCGCAAACAGGAAAGGGTATATCTGAGGCGTTTTTCTACCGGAAGAAGGACACGCATTCACTCCTTGCATACATAACGTGTGCTGAAGTGTCCAATGCTTTGGATAAAACGACAACTGCGGAGCAAAAAGAAATAACTTAGTGCTGGAACGCTGCAGAAGCAGTAAAGCCAGCAGCGCATGACGCCATGAATATGCTACACATTTCGGCACTTGTCATCGGGAAAGTCAGCATAGGACAGCGGCGTATTTCTGCCTCGCAGTCTCATATCTTGAGTATGCGTGCATAGGTTCAACCGGTATTGCAGAGGTACAGATGCAATTCTACTTTTGAGGTGTAAATATAGATCTTAGATGGCGAGGACAGACACGTGTAGAAGCAGTCATGTGCTTCTTTTCAGAATCGTGCTCCGTATGCCTATGTACGTGTATCTTTCTGTGAGTATATGCTTATGCATATATATTAATCAGTTTGTCTATAACACATGAATTCTACAAACCCAGATACTCTCACGCACATGTATGCATGCGCACATATGGAACGATGTGTATTGTTACAGCAAAGAGCACTCGAACGTAGACGTGCATGAAATGCATACACATGAACTGTATATAACCAATGGTGTATATACGGATTCATGCCTCGAAAGGTCGTAGGACGGTTGGAATGCAGATGTGTAACGCTCAAACGCGGACTTCAAGTGTTTGAAATGGTATCACCTCTTTGTGGTGGATTGTGGAACATGGGCTTTCACACAACACTATGTGACCCGTTTAAAACAAAAACAGTCATTTTCTTATAAATAAAATATCTCGATAACAGTATGAATATGAATCAATGAAGCCAGGGAATGCACCGACCTTCTGTAGGAGACTGAGACAGCCTTGGATAGGGGCCTGCTTGAGTATAATGATTGAACTCCCTACTCGTCGCTTTAGGCACAAGAAGTGCTAATTTCCAAGCGCTAGTGCGGGGAGGCGCCAAAGTGTACCTTAAGGTATATGCATGCGCCTTACCGAAGAAGCCCTCACGATTCTAGAGCCAACTAGTTGTCCAAATGCTGCTATCAGTACAAGCCAGCGTGTTTGCGATCTTGCTCTTCACCAGAGAGCTCTGCCGTGCATGTCAGATCGCTCGATAATCCGCCTCCAAACTCCAGATTCACCCACATGCGTAGCAAAATTTGAGCACAAGTGAGGCAAAGAGGTATATGGGAAGTCGGCAACAAGCACGAATGTCCTACTTTCTGTTGCCACAACCGACGGTTTAGGACTCAGATAGAGGCACATGGAGGTGAGAGGCAGGAGAAAAAGATAAGGGATGCGCCTTAAGGACAATGATAATACGGAAGGATGAAGTCACTACATTGTAAGCAATAGAGAGATGCGCAGAGGAAAAGAGATTGGCACGGAGAGAACAGCTAATGCGCTCCAAAAAGGCTCCCACGAAGGGGGCTTTAACCCCAGATTTTAGTGCCTCTAATAAACAAGCATACCCTTGGCAAATGCCCAGAGGCCACCTAAATCCTAAAACACAAGACCTTTAAACGAAGGAACCGGAGAATGGTCTCTAATTGAGGCATCGAATACAAAGGCGTCAATCAGAGTTTGAGCTGAGCCACCAAAGCCAAATGTCTAGGATCTATGGCTTAGGGTGATCCAGAAGGTGATTGACTGCGGCCCTCGTGTCTTCATGGATCACCCCTCCGGAGGGGCAAAAACCAAGGGCCAAGCTATCAAGGCGGCTCGCGGGGGAGTCTGCACCAAACTTCTGAGAAAATGACACGTTGGGAGGAGGAAAACGGAAGCTCTGGACAAGCTATGTGCATGGGGTATCACGGAGAGGACGAAGTGAGCAGAGAGGTCGACTGCTGCACGAAGTAGCTGGAGCAGCGTGGAAGGCAGAGACCATGGAGGCGTAACTAAAAATGATAGCAGGGCAGAGGATTCACTGCAGGGAGAGGCTAGAGAATACGAAGGCCTAGTTAGTGAGCGCCAAAGAGCAGGTAGACGTAGAAAAGGCAGCTAGAAACGTAGGCTATTTTCCAGTTGTGAGGCTGGGTGGCACGCTGAGCAAGGGGAAAACTCACTCGAAGGAGGGTAGCAGCAACCCTTAAAAAGCTATGCACACCAGGCCGATCGAAACGCGAGAGTTCTTGCGTCGCCCACCAGATAACCGTCGTCTGCAACCAAACATAAGGCAGAAACCCCAATACACAAAGGCGACTTGCTAGGCAAGAAGGAAACGGGCGTACGGCATTCGTGATGCACGCGATTCTTCCTGAGAAAGCCGGCTGTAACATGCCCCTGAGATAGCGAGAGAAAGAACAGTAGGCGGCCATCCACGCCGGGACATCCTCGTACAGGTGCGAAATTTGAAAGACGACAGTCAGTCAGCCGCAGACTCTGGCCACCAAGATGCACTAACAAGGCACGAGCGACTTAGGGAGCTTATTGACATTGGGGTAAGTAAGAACCAGACCACCAAGACGGCAGGCGAAAGCAATGAACCACTGCAGTATGATCCTTGCCTGGAGCTGATGTAGCAGCTGCGGATCCCCGACTCTCTGCTCGAAGACCTCGTTCCAATACGCCGTCTGAGTGCATGCGTAGACACCGCAAATCTCAAGGCCTAGAGCCAATCCGCTGAAATATGTATAGGCCACGTAGCGAATCTAAGGGACATCTTACCATAAGGTGCAGGAGACCCTCGAGGTCTATGAGCTCCGCCTCGCTGTCGATGGCGCCCCCAGGCCATACATGCTGCGAAGGGAGTTTGCTTTTCTGCAGCCAATCGGGTCCGAAGAGTTTGCGCATGCATTTGTCAACTTCTGGTTGCAGTGCTGAAGCACAAATCCTAAATCCCTCCACTAGGCCCTCAAGCAGAGCTGCTGAACCGCCAGATGGGTCTGTAATGAGAGGCGGATGCATAACTGTGGTTGAGGATGACGAAGCCACTAGCCAATCCGTCTGGCAGCAATAGTACACACACACAAACATCGCGAACTTTAATCCCTGAGCTCTGAGGCCTGCACTAAGGTCCTAAGGAGGAAAACACTACATGCGGAGCAGGCAATTTACTCACGTAACGGGTAATGACGAACGATAGGAAGAAACAAACCGTTGCTCGAGGGGGCGGCTGACCTTAAGTTCTGGGGGAGCTCTTCGGAGGTTAAGAACCTGGGCCTTCATCACAGCCTCCCCCGCCTCTCGCGCTTCTAGACCAGCAACCTGCCATCCTTTCAGGGCGATTTTTTCATCGGGGCCCCACACTTTGAAGTACCTTTCGCAGCCGATACGCCAGCCCAGCAGCAGCCATGAATTGGGGAGGCAGAGCGATCGATAGCTTTTGAACCCCTGCAAGGCGCCTACCAGCAAACAACACCGAGACAACATAGGAACGAGACAGCGCTAAACTTCTCTTCTATAAGCAATGCGCCCCTCATAATTGCCTCTGCACAAAGGAGAAGGAGTGGCAAAGCCGGGACAGACACATGCACAGAGAGCACTTAACTGCGATCAAGCACTTATAAAAGGCTGGCATAGAGAGTAAAAAGCAGAGAAAGGAAGGCACCCATTCAGAGATGACCGGCATAAAAAGCGCCGAAGACTTGTATGCTTCCTGCCACTTGTAGCAAAACGCTAGACGTACAAAAAAAGGCTCGCGGGGAGGTAATAACTACTTGTTTTCTCTTGAACAGTTGTGGCTGCGGCTCGATATCGTTCTTGGAGGCCCCACGGTCTCCATTCACGCAAGCCTCCCCTCCTTTGCCGACCGTCGAGGTCCTACGCCTGTTCAAGCGTGCACTACCTCGCATGATCTGCTGGTGGCTGAGAGGTCTTTGTCCCTTTTGCTCCAACTGCTCGAGGTAAGGCAGGAGGACAGGCAGCACATCGGCTCCAAAACGCGCAGCTTCTGCTGCTTCGGAGATGGAGAGGCATCCCTCAACAGACCCCCGATGTGGAGTAAGAGAGGGTCCCCAGGATTGGGGAGGAAGCGCACGAGCCTCTTCTAGCTGCAGACACAGGGAGTTAGGCAGAGTAGACCGTTGGGAGGCAGGGTTAGATACCTGTGACGGATCAATAAGAGATGCAATTATACTTTGGGGGAGAAAAAAACGAGACGTTGCGTTTAAGCCAGGCATGTAGCGCTAGAAAGAAGACTACAAGGAACACACAACTGCAAACGCAAGGGCATCAAGAGGCATACATATCTACCCATATTCACGAGCACACAAGCAAACCACGTAGTAGGGATGGCGTAGAGCAGAAGCAGATATAAATATGTACATGTATCTATATGCATGAAGCTAGGGATTGGCACCTGCATACAAATCTCCCTGGGCAAAGAGTGAACCCCTTAATCAGCTAGCTAGTTATTTCTGATGCGCCTGCCTGGATAAGTGGAGGGTTTGTCGGGTCTATCACGTGGAAGACCAAGGTGCCTTCATTAAGGTTTTCTGAGTGGCGGAAGACGCGGAGAGATCGTGATGAATGTACACCCAAGCTCCGGCAACCACCCATGCCGGGTTGATCCCAGACAAACAGCAGGTGCCTGAAGAATGCATAAAGCGCATTCACTTCGCATGCATGCTTACCGGGCAAGTCATGGTGCCTCTTCAGGGTGGGAGTGTCGTGTGCGGGTAGCTGACACAATATCGACTCCTAGTGGCTCTGTTGAATTAGTAGGGCTACAAAAGACGCGAGAAAGCGGCAGAGCCAGCGGCACAGTGACTAGAAAGAAGAGGACGCGCACGAGAAAGCACATAAGCAAGCAGGCTGATGTGAGAAAGATACCCCTGCTGATTGGCCACAAGATATGTACAGGACCCCCCGGTGCCCAGCAAGAATCCGTCGCTTTGACAGCCGAACTCCGAGCAACAGAGCGGAGGGATCTCTTCGGAAGGAAACTGAGACGGCAGCAGGCAGAGGAAAAACGCACAAAAAGAAAACAGAAGTCGGTGTGTATGAGGAAAAGCTCAGGTAGAGGGGCTGCCCTAGGAGTGTGCCATGGAAGAAAGCCTACAGTGCAGTGTCCGACAAAGGAGGGAGACACGGCAAGACCTCTTAAATCATCCATCAGCACACTGTCACCAAATGAGGGCCCGTGAAACAGGAGGATAAAGATCTAGAGAGAAAGAGAGTGGTTGGCAATGCCTTACGCAGACCCTGAATCCGAAAGTGGGAGCAGGAACAATTGATCAGAGAGCACTATCAAGCCATCGAGAGGCGGGAAAACAGACGCCTTGACATACGGAGAGACAAACAAGAAGGGGTACTTGATGGCGCGCAAGAATCGTTCATCAAGAGGGCCACAAGAGCGCATGCGAGACAAAAGAAGCACCAACCCCATCTAAGGGAATGCAGGCTTTCAGTAGAGACGTGCGGTCGGCCAAAAGTGTTCGGTACCTCAATCCATAGACCCTCTTCAAGCGTAACTCGGTCGCCGCCTCTTCTGTCCAGCACGAGTGGGAAGGACGTGAGATTGACGATGCGAATCAGAAGGGATCGATGGGCCTTCCTGAGGCGGCGCTTCCAATCGATGTTGCGCACGTTCCATAGGAAGTGAGAAGGAAGAGAAGGGGGAAGAACCGCAGGGTCTGGCAAGATGGGTGCGGAAGAACTCCGGAGCGATTCGAGAGCGAGATGTAACTCTTCTCGGCATTCTGATGGGGATATGCAGCAGCATGCGGAGGAGCAACGGTCAAAGAAGGCGGTGCAGCCCTATTGGCATGCATGCACTTAGCGTGTGGGATCGACGGTTCAGGAATACAGCAGGGAGAAGTGGAGAGAGAGAGATCGCATACAATGGCAAAGAGAGAGGTACGCGGCCCAGCACGCGACTCTTGGGAAGAGGGGCACGGAAAAGAGACATTTGAAGTGAAGGAGAAAAGGCAGAGACGGTGGGAGAAAGAAGTAGCAGGCAAACACGTCCGCCGAAGAATACTCGGCAAACAAAGAAGATCCAGACAGCAGGTGTATACGGGCACGCCGGAAGAGAGAGGTGAAAAGCATTGGAACCAGACTTTACATATACACGGTGAGGGGATGCCAGCGACGGCTATAAATGGGAGTCTGACAAATCTGCATCGAAATATATATATATATATATATATATCCACGAAATATGGGATATTGGAGTGCCAGGAGCCGTATCAGAAACTCACGCTTTATAAAGGCACTTCCTTCAGGAGTCTCCCTGACGTTCACCACGAACTGCGGAGAGACAGCAGCGCACCAGACGTTCGTCCGCACATACTTACAGAAGAGTGGAAGCACCGTCTCTCTGACAAGGGTCCAGCGAAACGGCTGCTTAAAAGGCCTTTAGACTTAAGCGAAGAGACCAGAAGTGCGCAACGGAGAGAGGGTCGAGGCACAGAAGAGCAGATCAGCCGACGGGAGAGGCAATGAGCAGCAAATATCGCAGGGAAAAGCCCCAAGCCACAGACGTTACAGTGCAAGGGATGCCGGAAAGAGGACCTTGCTAAAGACGGTCAGGTCCGCAGAGTAGGTTAATTCAAAAAGCGATTTGGCTTCTGGAAGGCCTTGAGCTCGCGAGTCAACATTACAGCCCATTGCGCTGACATGTCTAAACAATGGCAACAGAAGGCATACAGCAAACCCTGAAGCCTGAAACACAGAAGAAACCTTCCAAACGCCAGGCCATAGCTACAAATCGTAAACTGTGCACTTCACACCACGTACGCCAAGCCGCAAGACTGACTTGTTTTCCCCCAGGACCGGGATCTCAAACTCGGAGCAAATGATATACTCAATGCCAGACAAAATCACCGCATATTGGATCTGAAGACACACGCAGCACGCGCTAAAGCGCTTCAGCAGACGGGGTCTAAACACAAGAAGCCAGTGAAATCGATGCGCATGCGTGGTCAACGACCTGCTGCTGATCGAGGAGGTAACTCTGCAGATCACCAACGAGGGCAAGGGCGGCAGCCACCAGATCATCATAGCTGACCTTCCCGCTAAATGTACCGAGCGACCGCGTTGCCTCTGAGAGGCAAACCATCTCCTGTCGAGGCTCTGAAACATGGGAACGCCAAGCATCATGCACAGCGAGGAACTCATCCCGTGCAAGAAAGGGTGGGCAAGGCCAAACATCTGGGAGAAGGGAGGTGTGCACACAGGACGCATGATACTATAGCAGGGAAATGCTGAAGGGGAAAACTGAAAGGCAGTGAATACAGACGTATGGCCTCTAAAGGTTGCCGCCTCCAGTTCCCATGATGGAGAATGTGCAGATGGCGGTAGAAAGTCACGCTGCAATAAAGCATTACACATCCGTACACACAGAAAAAGCACGCCCCAGATTATAGGGGTTCTGCATATCTGAATGCATGTCTTCGGTTGTCTTGTTTCTGAAGTTTGCACTGAGCCACTTGGATGCCTCATTGCGGCATTTGAGCAAGAGGCCTTTTTTCACGGGATTTCGCGAGCCTCGCCTCAGCTTTATAACACGCAATCCACCGGAAGAACAACTTAATCCAAATCTTAGCCTACGCTGTTCTGCACACGTACATACCTCGTGAGGTTTACAAAGTGGAACTCGCTGCCGCGTGTAGAGGATGACATTCTAGGGGTGCGGCGGGTGAGCGCCGTGTCATAAATGAAAACTCAAGGGATGGGGGATAAATGCTGTATGATGGCCTAAGCGAGCTCTGACGCCATTGGGATCTGTTCTGTAGGCACGTTCGGCTCAAAAGAGGAAATCGGCTAGTGCCGAGCTCTGGCTGTCCACCGTTCAGCGGGCTGGCAAGACACTGTAGACACTTGTCCTTGTTGCTGTTTCTCGAGTCCTCCCCCAAGCCCTCAGACGCATTAATTGACTTGTGGCTTGGTGCCCTCTGGGGCTTAAGGGCCCCACGGGGCCCCAAGGGCCCCCAAGGAAAGCAGTGCTTGCGTGTGTAGGTGGGTGGAACCCAAGGGTAGCACAGCGACAGGGAGTAGACCGGACGAAGGTGCCTCGCGCCTAGATGCACATACCCTATATCTGGTCCACGCGAGATAATAACACGAGAAAACAAGAAAAGGTGAGCCTGTAATCTTCACAAGCTAACTAGCGGCACCAAGCTATGGCCAGCTTGCAGAGCTCCAGTTGCGATCCATACACCTCAGAGTCCCAGCACAGCTCCCGTAAGGCACATCCAGCCCAAAAATAATAAAATATGAAACCGCACGCAGCCCGTAAAATGCTCATGGGATCGCTTTCTCTGCATGCAGGGAGAGGGGGGCCCAGAGGGGCCCCATCAATCTGTTGCGTAATTCTTCTTTCCACCGAATGGGCCTGAAATTGACATCCAATACAAAGATTTTGGCGAAATTCGTAACTTATGGCTGTCCGCAATTAAGCCCAAATATGTTACACCGTTTGGCTCCTGCTGGCTCAAAGTGAATATGCCTTCTCCGAGCCTCTGCTAGACTCCCGAAGGGCCCCTGCTAGACTTCCTTCTGTGTGTGTTGCCCAACCTTAATTCGTATTACAGCGCAAAGGGGGACGCTTGTCCGTCTAAGACTGCGTGTTCGTCTATCCCAAGCCTGAAGATCGTATTCGAAGCCATATCTTCTTCTCGTTCTCCGACATCTACGAGCCCTTCAGTGAAGGAACCAACAGCGTCCGTTTCATGGAGAGGCGCTTCCAAAAGCCATGCTAGGATGGTTCGTGTTTTGAGGCCCCGCCCTATTGCGTGTTCTGTAGACGCAGGAGACCGGATTGTGAGGCTCGCATGAACGAAATATGACACAACTCAAGCATGCATGCAAGGGTTAGTTTGTATGCGTCATGCCTCCCTGGAATGCTCTGTGTCAGGGCCTTGTGCTCTCTGGACGCCGACTTGGCGGTCCTGCCTCTCGTAGGCTGCAGCAGCGGCGTCAGCGGCTGCTACAACAACAGGCTGAGCAGAGAACCCCTTCCCCGAAAGCGACACCTGCAGCAAGTGCTGTGCCCTTCATGGCAGGAGGCAGGATGGGGAGCGATCCGCTACACTTGAATGATGAGACTCAGCAGCAGCAGCAGGGTGGCCCTCCCAAGCGGGTAGGCACTGGCCACTTCAGGGATCCCATGAGGGCCCCCGTGCCGGTAGAGGGCGGGAATCCAGCACACACTGAGTTCTTGAATATGAATAAACAGGATCTGCAAGCTCGGGTTGTAGAACAGCTTATTGCCTTAAGGAGGCAGAAGCAGCAGCAGCAACAACAACAACCGCAGCAGCAGCAGCGGCAGCACGGTGAGGCTGCTCCCCAAAACGCCACTGTGCATGCACCCCCCGAAACAGCACAGAGGGAACCAAGGGATTCAGATCTCCCATTGGCCGTTGCTGATGTGTATGTACACCACGAGCAAAATATCCGCAGCGTCGCCCCAAGGCCACATGCCTTTGTGGAAGCCTGCGTGAGGGACCTCATGGCGGGAGCTTCTGCAGCTGCAAATCCTCTGTACACCCCAAGCATCCCGCTGGGGGAGGAATGGGGAGAAGAGCGTCCTTTTGAGTACCATGACTCAGAGAAAGAAAAACGCGCCACGAGGCCCTCAGAAGCACAGCTTCGGCGAGCTGCTTCCCTTGTGGGGGCCCCCGGTGTTGAGTTGGTGCATGCAGAAACAGAGGCAGCTTTATTGCACCTCAAAGAGGCCTCCCAGGGGATATGTGATCCTTCTTTCAAAGGGGCACCTGATGAGCCAAACGGCTCCTCTACGGCGTTTAAGACGGTCTCAACAGAAGCTGCTGCTCGTTCGGATGGGCAGAATGCCGAAGAACGCATCGATCGATGGGGGGCCCCCCGAGAAAGTCCGTATGATAGACGTCAGGGAGCACCCAGCGTGGTGCTTGCGGGATCCTCCCGTCAGCTGCGCTCGTTTTTTCGGTCCGACGACTCCCCCGTCACTTGTAGAGAAAACCCCTGTGGGGTCCATTTACCAGCTGTAGAGGAGTGCCCGCATGGGAGCCCCCTCCAAACAGAGATCCCCGAAGAAGATACTCCCCGTGCATCGATGGGCCGTGCGAGGCGGCGGACCAGCAATACTGAGACCACGCTGCTAGAAGTGGCTGGATCCCCTCTTCTGGGTGAAACGATACGAGCGAGTGAAGAGTCTTCACGGGCCTGGGAAGCCGTGTTGGGGGCTTCCTCTGCCGCTGCTCCTGTACAGACCCCTTCTGCACTCGCGGGAGACTCTCCTGGGGATGTGCATTATCTTCCTTCCGACCCGTTTTCCGACAGTAAGGAGACGAAAAGCCACCCGGAGCTTTCGTCCCTTTGGACCGCCCGAGGGGCCAGGCTTGGCGTCGTGAGAGACTGTCGTGTTCCTATTGATTTCAGACCCAACGTGTGCGTCAGAGACTACCGCGGATGGAGCACTACACGTTTGGGGTCTTCGATTTCGGGAAAGGGGCACGATAGATTGTCGGTCCCTCGGGGTGGTGATGGGGGGTAGAGGTAGAGCACGTTTTGCCTTTGGAGGTGGGTGCTTCGCGATGTGCAGCTTGAACCTCTCAACTCTGGGGGCTTACTGGGCGGCTCGAAGGTCCAGCTGTTTGTTCGATGTCTCTTACCGCCGGCTTCTGGAGGTGCGCGGCAGAGACAGAGTCGCGTTCGCTGACCTTTTGGCATCTTGTGATATGCAGAGGATGATGCGGGTACGTCAACACAAGAGTCTTCAAGGCCCTCCTGTCCTTCCCCTCCCGCGGAAGCTTTTGCTATTGTGTTCACATGCTGCTGCTTGTGCAGCGGCCTGAGTCGCTGCGGCGGGAGATCCTTCTCTGCCGGCACTACTGATAGGAAGCATGCCGAGGTTGACCAATAATTGGAGCTGTTGTTGCTCGGGCTGCAGCGGCAGGAGAAGAACGGAAGACACTGGCTGATACGCCCAGCAGTTCCCCGACTCTCCTCTAATAGCATCTTACCGCTCGTGGTTTTCTTCTTGTCTCTGTCTCCGTGCGGTCTCGTATTAGGTAGGCGAGGCATATTCAGCGCTGTTGCTGGACAGCAAGGGCCTTCTGATGGATGACTGCTGCGTCCTCAAGGCACCCGACTTCATCGAGATCCGTTCCTCAGGCCATGCTTTCTCCCAGATATTTGAATACGTTGCGGAGCTCGCAAACTTCTGCACGTAGGCCGCAAGTTGTAAACATAAAATCAAAAGCCGCAGTCGCTGACTGTTTCGTTCTTTTCTTCATCACGAGACGCATTGGGAAGGTTTGCACTTTTGTTTTCCTATACCTTTCTAAAATATCTACCTAAATCACGCGCTGTGGGGTTTAACGTTGAAAGTTTAAAGTTAGACGTTCTTATTTGCTGCGATTCCATGCTTTTCTGTGGTCCGTGGCTTGTAATTTAGGAAGAGTGGGATGCAGGTAGCTCTGCAGCCTTCGTCGAAGAGCTGCGTGCTGGCCCTGCAGGGGCCCCTGGCAATGAAGCGTTTTGTGCAGCAGGTGGAGGGCGCACTTATTCGCGAGTAGGGTCCTCCTTAAATTCTATACCCTCACAGTGCAACCCACGTTTGCTGACCGTTGTTCAAGGGGTGGCTGCACTGCATGCGGCTGCCCCAAAATTGGCGAGAACGCTGCTGTTTGGAGTTGGAAACTCTGGATCGGGGGCTTGTGGCTGGGGTGTCAGGGGAGAGAAGACAGAAGCACCATCTCGAGGAGCTCTTCGCGTCGCTCTGTATGATTTCTGGGGGAACCCGTTGTCTCCCGCTGGTCTCTCTCAATTGCCCTTCATGTCCGCCTGGCGCCTTGAAATAAGGCTCCCCCGAGATCCAAATATTGGTTCTCGCTCTCAGTACGGCAGCTAACCACCTGAAGGCCCCAATTCTACACCGTGTACTTGAGCAGAGAAGCTAGGGTTTAGGTATTTTTTCTACTTAGGCGCACAGCAGCGGTGTTCTTATAGCTGCACAGAGGGATGCGCGCAGACAGACAGCATCGATCCTCTCAGGGAAGCATCTTGGGGGTTTCCTGTGCGATTTCAGCAGCAGTTCTAAAAAATTCTCTGTGAGCTGCATCCGTGGGGGCCCCACTGGAGAAGATGGCATCGAGTTTGCCGCGGATCCGCCTGGGGCTTTAGCCCTTGCCAGGTGGGCCCCCACAGAATATTATCCCCCGCTGCCACCTCCCCCCTCCCGCTGGCTGGGGTTCTCTGGCTAGCACCAAGAGCTCTCCTATCTGTGCTTGAGGCTTAAAATCTTGTACCTTCTCAGGTTTCTACTGGACGACTCGCTGGCCAGGAAGGGCCCTCCAGTGCAGAATCCTGGAGGCTTAGGATCCTCTGTAGTTGCACCCCCGTATTTGGGTTCGTTCTTTGCTTTGGAGATGCTGCGGCTCGAGGCTGGACTCCCGTGGATGGGGACGGACATGCGGAGCAGCCACACAGCGCCACAAGCAGGCTTTGCACGCTTGGTGAGTTTGTATAAGGTTAGGCAGAAAGTGCTTCTGGGATCAGAGGCCCTCAGTAGGCATCTTGCCGTTCCCCCCAATGTGAGAAGAGTTGGATTCATCATCGGGGGAAACGACAGACTGCTAAGGGCGGAGCAAATCCAGCAGGAGCGACAAGAGGCACCGGCAGAGGGGGATGAGGCAGGCGTTTGTTTTGCGGTATCCTCCGGTACGAATCTGGAGGCTATCAGTTTCCCATTATGCGGCTCTGCCGTTCTGTCTCGTGGTGAACGGCGGCCCGTCGGCATCATCACTTCTGTGGGCTGGAGTCCCACGATGAAATGCAGAATTGCACAGGGGCTTGTGCTCAATGAATTTGCAAGGCACAGAGAGGTGCGTCAAGAGGGCGAAACAGGCACGGACGAGGCGAGGGCGAGGACGCAAGGGGAGGGGCTGTTGGCGGTATCAGGGTGCAAGAACGATCAGAACAAAAGGAGATGCTCATTGGGTGACACAATGTGACGACAGAAATAGGGATGGAATGAGTCACCACCAATAGATAGCGGAGAGAGCGAAGGTTGAATGTGGAGGGAGTGTTCATCGGCATTGCCTCTTTTGCGTCTGTTGCCTGAGTATTGCAGCCTGTATGGTTCGCAGTCCCAAAAGCTGTATCCTCAGATGCCCCCAAATGGAAAAAGGAAAAGTTACTAAGAGGAAGGAGGCTCCGCCTGTTAGTTCCAGGAAGGGTCTGCAGGCTACCACTCCTCCCGCATAACTACCCGTTGGTGCGTCATGTTATACACAACTCTCCGTGCTCCCTGCCAAGGTGCCCGTCCCTGCTTTCCTTAGTCCCCAAAAAAAGCCAACAGGCTCTGTGGAGCCTACGAATACGCCAGCGTGATCGAATCAGAATGACCATAGCTTTTGAGGGCTCCAGGTGTCCATTCATGTCCTATTACTACTCTTGTTTATTTAAAGGGAAAACAAGGATTAGTGGCCAAATGCCAATGAGAGAATCAAGCAAGCTGTGTGTGTTGTTCGTGTGCGAGTTTATTTGCAGACAGAGGGCCAGAGGCAGACCGCGAAAACAGTGCCATTCGTGCCGATTAGGAATGGGCAGCATCACAGCTCCGCAGAGACAACGAGGACGCGGTAGAAAGGGTCCAGGGAGAAGGAACCTTTGGAGAGATAGTGGAGGTGAGGAGGACATATGTGATATGGTGGGGGCAGGGGAAGAAGGGAACTCCTAAAAGGGACAACCAACAACTTTTCGAATTTTTTATGGAGCGAAATGTTTTCTCCATACACCTTGAATGTAGTGTTACACTTCCACTGCCCGCAGTTCTGAAAGTTCCCCATATGAGGGCAGAAAGCCATGTAGGGTGAGAGTAGCTGCGACCTCCAACCATTCACAGCATTCACAGCTAGTGCACAGAGCATCTAGCGTAAACGCACACAGCATGCCACTTCTTGCATCAAGCTAACCAAACTCTGGTATTTAAACGTATACCAACATCCTAGGTAAGCTGTCCAATCTCACTAATTCTTATTTAAAAATAGTCAATGTAGAAAATGCCAAAGCGTAGCTACGCCCGCTACACCTGGTCTACGAGGTGGCACTTAAACTCTTACCAGAAGAATGTGCACGTCCCAATTTGCGTGCGAAGGGGGCTACCTATTTATTTGTGGGTGCGAAGACAGTGAGAGAAGTACTTGAACACCAAACTAAGATAACAGTACAGCAAGACGACCAGCACCCAGGGGATCATCACCGCGTTAACTACGACCTGCATCGAAAGCACAAAGTAGCAGTTTGCGGATCACAAAGCGCCGCAGTTTGATGCTCTGCTTAACGTAGAAGCTCAGATAACAGGGTACACAACTGCAGCAATGGAACAAAAACCATCGATTTTCGGCGGGCAATGCCCAAGCGGCTGCGGGCCGGGTTGGGGCTTTTTTGGTGGATGCGGCATAGACGACATTCTCTCTTTTGATCTCCCCTGCTTCACGGCTCCTTTCGCACCATTTCAAGCTCCACCCAATATTTCATTTCAGATTCTCAGCGGATATAAACTGTGGAGGCAAAGTTGCAGCCTCGCAGTCCGGAGCTCTCCTTGCCTTTCTGCCTCCTGGAATGGCTCTGAGGTGTACGGGCAGTTTGCACTTCACCCTTTCTCCTTTAACCTTTCGAAGTGCCCAATAACCGCTATTTATGTAAATCTAGACGCGGTTTGAGACTGACGCAACCGCGTTCAGAGAGTTGCCTCCCGGCACCGAAGCGCACAAGGCTGGGAGTCCATGTTTTTGCCGTCTGGCTGTAGGTTTTAGGGTGTATTTGTAGGGGCCATAGTCAACGTATGTTTGAACAGCTGTGTGTCTGCATCGTGAGGACAACCTCGGCGGTTAAACTGGGGCCAGACCAGACGCCCACGCCCAGTGCGTGTAGTGATAGGCGTACCTTCGGACGTTACTGCGCGGGGACCTCACGCTTCAAATTTTGTTACGGCGGAAAGCTATAAGAGAGATGGCGCGGGCCGAGGTGCGTGGAGAGCTTGTGTGTCGTTCGGTAGCCTCGGGAAACCCGTGTGCCGGAAGCATGAGTGTGCATCGAAATATGCGTTTTTTGTTGTGGTTCAGAGAGACCGGTCATCATCTCGGAGGAGGGCTGACATTACTAGAGAAAGAGAGCGGGACAGAGAGAGTATGTTTCAAACCTATTTCCCCCTTTGGCTTCACGGGTGGGGCTTCGCACCCGGCCGGGTTCCTTGGCGTAAGAACTACCGCTGCGTGGTGGGTGTGTCGTGCAGGTTTCCCCCATAAGCGCTCGCGACGGAGCAGTAGCAGAGAAGCTTCGAGTCCGAAGAGGAGGGAGAGAAGAGGCCGAGAGAGAGACAGGGAGCGAGACAGGGAGGTAGGCAGGCGCGGAGACGGAGACAGGTCTAGGGAGAGAGATCGGCGGTCACGCCGTTGCTATAAAGACAGATCTGTTTCTCCCCCATCCCGCAGGGGCCCAAGTCATAGCAACGACTACAGGACACACTCGCCATACAGGCGGGCGGGGGGCGCCCCAGTTTCACGTTACAGCCCGCAGAGTGGTCGGCTCAACGGAGACCGGTATAGGGAAGGCGGTAGAGCGAGAGACGGAGCAGCAGAGAGAGACAGCGAGGAGCTGAGGGTAAGGGAAAATAAGAGCGACGCTGAAGATGGATCGGGTTTCAACCCGGATGAGCTCCTCTCAGATGAAGAAAAGGAGCGACGCTTCTTGGAGGAGAGGCGCAAACAACGCGCCGCGCTGCTCGCGAAGCTTAGCAACAATGCGAGCGACAGCAATGCGGACAGCAACACGAAGAGAGGAACCAGCAATTCGCATGCTCAGGAATCCTCGGATCTGCAAAGCGGTCCAGTGTCAGGTGTAGGGACGCCGGAGGGCGAGCCACATGCCGTGACGACTTCCCAACAGGTACCTTTGCGAGGAATGCGTAGGACTTGAACGGCTTTTGTTGATGCTTGAAAGTAGGAATTACCTCTGCAATCCGTACAAGTTTGCATATTCAAGATCGCTGAGTGTCATAAAGGTTTGGGGTCACGCATGACTCAGGGTGCCGTCGTTTTGTGTTGCTGTAGGATCGTTCTTCACCCGACGGCCGTTCCCCCCACCTTGGCGATCCTCCCTCTGACGCAGCCGTGATCTTCGCTCCAGATGCCGCGAGCATCTCCTCTGCAGGGGGCCTCTCTTCTCCCGAAAGTGTATCTGACACCGACGACGTTCCTGGAGCCGTCCCTGAGAGCGAGAGCACCATGGAGGTGGCCGATGGTCTCGATGGCTTGGACCGGGAGACTCCTGGAGGCACTGAAAAGGAGGAGAAGAGCAGTGGAGGGGGTTCTATTCGTGGTATAGACATGTCCTCCTTGCAGAAAATGTTGGGAGAACACAAACTGAAGCTGCGAACATTTATTATTCGTATGCGGGAGGATCATGAACGCGCAGAAGCAGTGGGCGGAGGCCCCCAAGAGGGCCCTTCCACAGGGCCCCCCCCCTCTAGCGCTGCAGAGGGGCACAGCACAGATACTGCCTTCGCAGATGATTCAGGGGGAGAAGGCGAGGATGAGGAGTTGGACATGTTTTCCGCAGCCCCCCAAAAGAAGAGGAGGGTTTCGCGCTCGGCCTTGCGAAAAGTTGCAGCCGCAATTCCTTCCGATTTTGGACCCGCTGATAACTTTGACGATGCCGAAGGTTATTATCGAGCAACGGTGGGAGAATTGTTGGGGGGCCGCTATCGCGTGGAGAGCGACGCCGTCGGGAAGGGTGTCTTCAGCAATGTTCTTAAGTGCTGGGATTTGGAGGAAAACCGCTTTGTGGCAGTCAAGTGCATTCGGAGGAACGACATGATGCGCAGAGCGGCAGAGAAAGAGATGAGTATTTTGCATCTCTTGAATGCAGCAGACAAGGATGATAGGAGGCACGTTGTCAGACTTCTCCGTAGCTTTGAACACAGGGGCCACTTCTGTCTTGTATTTGAGTGGTTATGGGGGAATCTTCGGGGCGCGCTGAAGAAGTATGGGGGTGGCCATGGGCTGAACGCGAGTGCCGTGCACTCGTATGCCAAGCAGCTGTTCATTGCTCTCCGACACCTGCGCAAGTGCAAAATAATGCATGCAGATCTGAAACCGGACAACATTTTGTTAAATGACAAGTTCGCCATCCTTAAAGTATGCGACTTGGGGAGCGCGAGCGATGTGACTGACAATGAGGTGACCGCCTATCTTGTAAGCAGGTTTTACCGAGCTCCCGAGATCATCATTGGGGCCAAGTATGATTGCCAGATTGACGTATGGAGCGCTGCCGCTACGCTCTATGAGCTCGCTACCGGGCAGGTCCTTTTCGCGGTGAGCACAGTCTGTACACCGGATGGATGGCACTGGTCATGAGGACTGGCATTGAATTTTGTGTCGTAGAGCAGCGACTGTGCAAAGGCGGCATTCCTCATTCTCTGAGAACTGCAATCTGTGGCGCATATAGCTGTGCCGGCTTTGTTGGATTGCGCATTAGGGTGTTGTGGTGGGCGGAGTAACTCTTCAGGGGCTAAGGGAATGGGTCGTCTTGTTGACTAAAAGAGCCTTTATAGTGAATATTCTGATGGGCACTCTTTTTTGCTTCAGGGGCGAACGAATAACGACATGCTCAAGTGTATCATGGAATACAAGGGGAAGCTTCCGAACAAGCTAATAAAGGCGGGTCAGCTATCCTCGTTTCATTTCAACGAGGACCTTGATTTCGTCTACAGGGATAAAGATTCTTACTCTAAAAAGGATATCGTCCGCGTCTTGCACGATTTGCGTCCCACCAAAAGCATCACGGATTCTCTGCTGGAGAAACAGTATTGGCTCAAGGGTTAGTCATTTTATGGAGCAAGAAGCAGCTAGTGTCTGCCGACTCTCTTCGACCGTTTGCAACTGGGCTGTATCATATTTTTCTGCTGGCTTGTTGCGGGTCAAGGACCCAAAGAAGTCTGTTTGGGTGAAAGTGTGTCTGCTACTGTGGTGTGGTTGGTTAATGCTCCTTCTTTGTATTGAGTTCCGTATGGGTGCTTATCTCTATTAGGGAGCACTCCTTGTCCTGTTGCCTCATACAGCTGTGTTCTTTGCCTTTCCAAGCCGCGAATCGAATTGTCTTGCTAACTATGCTGTATACGCTAGTCGTGCTCTGGAGCACCTGCTTTGCGGCCGCATTTGGTATGCATCGCGGTTGGTGGTGTGCTGCGTTTCGTGACGCGCTTGCAGGAACGAGCCCGAAGATGAACTTCCTGCGCCGGAAGATGAAACAACTCGGAGACTTGATCGAGAAGTGTCTTGTGTTGGATCCACAAAAGCGGCTGACGCCAGACGAGGCCCTGCAGCATCCGTTTGTTAAGGAGAGCATTCACTTTCTGGAGTCCTCCACGCCAGGTCGTCACATATAAGGGGAGAGGAGAGCGGCTGAGGCTGGATACGAACTAGGGAGAACAAGCACTTGGCGGGAGCCTGAGGATGCATGCATCGGCCTATTCGCATACCTTTGTTGGTCAATCTGGCTGTCTCGCCGCAGAGGCAGAGAGAAAATACCGAGGCTCAAAGCAATAAAGAAAAGGTCTATGTTTAACTGTTGTTTTGTGTTCTCTGGTTCAGCACACACATACCGCTGTCCGTCAATCTCCACTCTGCAGTTCCACGAAGGAGGCAAGAAAGGCGTTTGTTTATAGCGGGGTTGCTGGTGGTGTCTTCTCGAGTTTTTGGTTTAGGGTCCGCCATGTGTCGTGATGGTTGGGGTGTCTGTGAGACTGGAGTCTATCAGCCGTTCGTTGTCTGAGGCACTGTGACTCGTCATTAAGGGTCCGGCCCGTGTGCCTCGTTTTGTTGCTAGGGGTACGCGTGCGTGACTGGCTGGTGTTGGAATGTGCAATTCTCTGTCTATTCGTTGTGTTCTCCTTTTTCGTTACTTCGCACTCCTCTTTCTCCGAATCTTGTCCAGCCCTGAATAACCCTTGAGTAGGGTGGGGTTGGTGTTGAGGACTTAGGGTCGGAGAGGGGCCAGACGCGGTCTGTCTTTTGCCGGCGGCGTGGAGTCTCCTGTATTTTCTTCTGCTCTGGCAATTCTTCTCGGCTGCAGTCAGCCGCTCGACGTAAGTAGCAAGGGTCTTTTGCTGGAGAGCAGCAAGAGTGCTTCTATGGGCGCCGCGGTAACTGAAAGACACACATTCTGCACATCTAGACAGAGAATCAAGAGCGTTAGATCGCGCTAGCGGTGGCTTGAAATAGGCAATAGTTTATTTTGTAGCAGGTGTAAAAAGGCAGCTGGCATACACCAATCTAGCAGGGAATGGAAGCAAACCTTGTGTATATCTAGTGCTTACTGTCTATTTATGGCTTCTTGTCAGCGAAGGGGGCGGCTGGCCGAATGCAAATCCAAGGCCATCCACAGGTCAGCTTTACTGCATCTATATTTTTTTCCGGCATCTGCGCTATGCGATTTTGCGGCTACACATTCCTGTGGTGGTTGTGTATACTTACTTTTCGCATTGAAGCCTTATTGCTGCATTCCCTCTGCCACACATGTGTCGTTGCTGTGAGTAAACGGGGATGTTTAGCATTGTCTCCTCGGTGATTGGAATAGAACTGAGGTCATCACAGAATGAGAGGGACATGGTAGCGTGCAAAGACACTTCGGAATGTCCGTGTAAACCATTGTTTCGCCTGTTGCATTCTTTCATACATCACTTGGCGATTTTGTCATAAGGACTCATTTTGTGTGTGTTTTCTTTTATTCCTTTATCAACAGGCCGCCCTCCGCTTCGCGTTCAGCTCTGGCATTCACTTTCATCTTTCCTGCCGCCAGCCACAGCACCAATACCAGGCTTTCTAAGTAACCGTACAAGCTTGAGTAATCCGCGCGCGCACACCCTTAGTGACTTGAGGGCTTAGGGATTAAGGTTTGGGGAGTGGAGTTAGGATGTAGGCTTTAGCCGCCTTGTGCTGTAAAATTAACTGCAACTGCATTGTAGCATCCCGGGACGGCTGGTATGTGTGTAGCGATGAAATAGGTAGAAATTCATGTAATTAATAGCTAGTTTGCATGCAGCCAGTCCATACTAATGTCCTGTTGGAGCGCCTCTTACTGGAGTTGATCCCCGCCCCGTTCTTTCGGTCATTATGATACGTAGCTCTCCTTAATTTATTCGCTAGTTAGGAGCTGTTAACGTGTTCCTCTCCCCTTGGGGGCATTGGGAGCAGTTTGATGCAGCAGCGAGGTAGCAAGCGGCCTATCTGCCAGCATTTCGGCAGTTGCCTTCTCAGCGCTCATGGAGCTTTCTGTTGTCTTACTGGTTTGCTGCTGGCGGACTACGGCTTCTGCGTTATGTCCTTGCATGCGAAGCACTTGCGGGATGTCGCGCAGATACACCATCTACAGAAGAGCGGAAGGTTGCTGGCACTTTTGCTGCATCATACCACAGCAGCAAACAGAGCTATGGGCGCTGCCATGCGATTGGGCTCTCTAGGTATGGAAGTGTGAGAAGCCTCGCCAGCGGATGCACTTTTCCTCTGCATCCTTCGTTACCAGATGCACAAAAATTCAAATGGGGAAGGGCAACACTTTTTTGCGCTTGTTTCGCAGTGCCGCCGCGATTCTAGATGCAGGGTCCGGATGGCTGAAGAGGTATTGACTGACCACTGTGGAATGAAACTAAACCAAATCAGCTACAAAAGAGACAAACGAAAAAGGAATAGAGACAAGGAAACATGGTTTCAGATTACTCTACCGGTGTTATCGTGTTCCAAGATGTGATTTTGCAGCGGCAGCGGTCGTAGAAGCTCAGGTATGTATTGCCACAGTTACTTTAGTTTGTTGCTGTTCTTCCTTTGTAGTTCGAGAAAAGTAATAACAGGCTTTTGTGTGAAGGTAGAGGTCAGGTTGAAAAGTCGACAGTTGCAGTGTAGTATTTTCCACACGTGCATTGAAGGGCAGTTGCTCATTAGGCATCAAACGGACCTGTCAAGAGATATAGATCTGGTTTTGAATTTTGTTTATCCACTGGATGTGTCGGTGTGAGCGAAAGTCTCGTAAGGTACACCACACATAACAGTTGATAAGTGGTTGTATCTGCACAAATGGGGATGCGTTTGGGACAAGTTTGACAAGCATTGACGGGTTAGTGGGAAGAATTTTAGAGTGTTACTTGTGATGTGTCTAAATGTATGTTTCATCCTTTTGTTTATTTTATAATTCCTCACCATAACCTTTTGCTTGGCTTGTTTAAGCGCTTCCAAATCTATCCCTACCGCGTGACAAAATGACTTATTGATGTTAACGGCTTCGCCGTTCCTGCCAAATGTCTTCTCGTTTGTTTCTTGATAGGGCGTGTCTTTGTGGTTCCTACTAGTAGGAAATTGATGGAAATATGTATGTCCAAAATTTTTCCGCTTTTTTGTATCAATTGCTGAAATTGATTACTTGAGCACAACCTTCGTTAGATTTGACAAATTTGTTCCTGTGCTTTGTGTAACATACTTTAGTCCGTTTGTCGGAGGTTGGTTTGAACCAGCGAAAACTCAATTTTTTGTCTCAAAAAACACCTCCATGTTCATTAATCCTTTGCAAGATTTTAGAGTGGCGTGATGGAATGTTCTGAACAACGTTCTCGTAGAGCGAACCTACGCGCCCTATTTACGTCTAGTTATATGCCCTAGCTCTCTTGCTACCCACCAGCAGAAGAATACAGATAGGTGCATGCTTGTCTTTTATGCCCATGTTTACGGAACGGCGTGATGGTTCATGGATACGCTGACACTGGACCCGAAGGTGCATTTGATATCCAAAAGCCGGGGATATAATAGTTGGCTTTCAGAGTGCTAACGAGCTTTCTACAATATTACTTGCCTGCACCCAGGTGCAACCACCAGAAACGGCTAAGGGTACTGACATCAAAGCCGCTTCAAGGAAACTTGATGGCCGATGTGCCGGTGTCAAAATTACGAGGCCGTTCTCCAAAGCGTATTTCTTATTGAATCCCCTGAAGTTGATATAAGCACGGGGTCCTATCGCCGTGGCCTCACGCTCACCTCAGGAGGGCTCTGCAGTTCCAAGACAATGAGCACATTTGGGACAAAGGGAGAGTCACTTAGCTTCACATCCAAGAGCCACTCGCTTGAGAAAGGTTGTGCCCTAGAGCTGTTGATTTCTAGTTAAACGATTCTGGTCGTTTTCGGTTACTTACCCTCGAGCCCCTTTGTCAGTAAGCCGTCCGTTCTTGCAAACCTGGAGACGTGGCCCTGCACAGCGCATTCACACCGCGCAACAGCCAGAAAGGCATTGAGCTCCATTATAACAGATCAATGGAGACTTTTGCGGTGCATGGATTTCAAAATATTGAGCTGTATATAATGCATAACAGACACTGGAAGCCTTCGCTCCCTAGAATTGCAGAGGCATTTAGCCCAGTAGTCAAGAGATCCAGGAGACGTCGATATTGCGAAGAGCGCGCTTGTCTATCAACCCACTTTTGCTCTCTTGGGAGTAATGAGGATGACTAGGGAATAGGAACTGCAGTGAAACGTATTCGACATTGGGGGAAACAAAGGATGGCCATCTCAGAAAGTATGCCTACGGATTGCTAAATGCAACGTAACCCCGCAATATTTTATCATCATATACTTGCTGAAAAGTGGTGCCCCTATGGTTGCCATGCTCCGTCACGAGGTCGTGGATATTGGTTAGTGTAGTAGGGTATCTTCAAAATTTGTTTCGGTAACAGTCACATCCATATTCTCGCTTCCATGTACTTCTGATGTGGACAGTTAAGGGCATTTCCAGTGGCTTTCGTAGTGCTCAAGTGTTGACTATTCATGAGCAATAGCGGTCATGAATTAGTGGGAAGAAGGCGTTGAAGCTCGTGATGTGAATTCAAGCCAGCTCAGGATTACGATATTTAATAGTATAAAGGGGAATCGATAAAACAAAGAGTTTGGTTTGCCGTGGCAAGGCGCACACCACACGATCCGTGCGGGTGGTTATTTCTTATGCACAGCGTCGTGCCCTCTTCCCTCTTGAAGGTCTGAAAGCCTACATCACAATGCTTTCTTCTCCAAATATACAACCCATACCTAAAACAAGCGGAGACAGTGCCATAATCTGTGCCAGTGGTTCGTTGTCGCATCATCAAAGAGGCTTGGAGCAATGCTTCTTGATTTTTACTGATCAAAATAGACTGAAGAAGGCTATCAACAGCAGGAGCACCGCCAGTCTACTTCAGACGTTAAAATTTGCCACATTGACGCGTAATTTTCGTGTGGTGGATGTGACATTATATAGCATCTAGTGCTTAGGGAAAGGAAGTACTGAGTTGGTGCATGCAATACTCATAGGGAGTTCTCAGGTTTACTCTAGGCGTTGCTTCGCTCGTTGGAACGCAGCACCTAATATTACTGTAGAGAAGTGCTGAACTCCAAGGTCACTACGTACGTGAAAAAAAATGTTGGGTTTGAAAAAAACGCCATCTCTCGCTGCCCGCGTCCTTCAGAGTATCCGACACGAGGAAAGATGGAAAGCTAGAGCTTGCAACCCTTGAGCGCTTCGAGCATTCACCGCTAATCGCACACAGCATCCAGCGCACACAATCAATGTTGCGTTTTCTTTTATTGACCTAGCTGTACTCCGCAACTAAAAGAGCATACAATCAGGAAAACCGATCAATTATTCTTTCCGAGCAATTGAGTGAATAAAACCTTACTGAAGGTAGTTCAAATATAGCTTGCCCCGCTGTAACGTCACCCCCCAGTGTCTCGAAACACACACAGCTAGTTTTCTGTGAATCTGATACATTGTATAGTTCTGCTATCTCGAGATAAGGAGACGCAACGCTGCTTTTAAGTGCGCAAAATTCTCTGTGCAGTAGCTGTGAATGCTCGGGGTTTCAGAGAGTACAGCTACGCACACCATAGCACTCCGTTCTCCTCATGCTAGAAGACGTGAGAAGTGCGAGGAGCAAATGGCTGGATTTCCTTGTGGGGATAATCACACTAGCTTTTTCGAGTTCTTGTAGTGTCCGGAATGAGCATTTTACAGAGTTCTTAGATGGAGCGAAACATTGAGCAGCACCGCAGGGTTCACTGCAACTGTTCCCGGTTCATCCAATGGCCGTGTATGTAGGGGTAAGTCATTATAGTCTACAACAGTTGTCTGGTTCCAGTCGAATCGTTGCCACAATTCAGTTGCCTGATTTTCTTTGGCAACAGGTTTGGAAAGATTGCTTTCCCGCTGGGCGTTGACGGTGGTACACTGCCTTCTTGGATACAGAGGCCGGCCTTCATGCTTACTCTAATTCATGAACGCCATAGCTGGTAAAATTGCATGAGTAGTCGGTTACCAAAGTGTCTAATATGCATCAACGAGGCTATGCAGTGGAGAAAAGTACGACGGCCCTGTCTATATGCAAGTACTGGCTGACTACACGAAGAGGCTAGAAACTGACATTTCTTAGAAACCCTCAGATGAAGAGTATACCAAGCCCTCTTTGTTGCATGTCAAATGGCGGCAGGTGCACCTCGAATCTAGCTTGATCCGTAAAGCGGATGCTGTCTGCCTCCACGACTTACTACAGTTTTTGCCTTCACACTATCTCGGATTCGTCGGTCTATGCTGAGATAAGCTGAAAAGCAAACTTTGGTAGAACGGCAAAGTCTGGAGTTCGGGAATCTATCAAGAGATGACAACACAAAGAAATATGAATTTGCGGCTTTCAAAAGCTACAACATAAACGAACAGCTGTTTTACGAGTGGTTGATCTTGGGTCTGCCAGGAGTATCACGTCAGGTGTTCGCAGGATGGGCAGCAACTCAGCGAGTAAACGACCGTTTAGTGGGGCTGCCTCAACTGATGAACTTCTTGAGATTTCAGGAGCAAATAAGCGCAGTTCCTGCTTCTCTGGCTGAAAAGAAAGATACATATCCGGACTTTGAGACTACGTTGGAACACCAAACATCCAAGGTAGCTTACGCCCCCAGCAGCCGCAGGCAGGCTCTCAACATCGCACTGGCTTCTGTTGTGGAAGATTGGGTCGAATGATGTAGGACTACAAGCTCATACAAAGGCCGAAAACGTTAAACAATGGGACTACTTTCAACGGGAACACGCTTCCTGGCAAGCAAGAAAGGCGCACCAGGAAAGCAGAGAACCCTTATGCAGTCTGCAACGACACATGAAAAAGACGCAGTTGGGAACCCGCCATGGGCCAATCCTGCGTCGATACAAATGTACATGAGTGGCCAAAAATTGCTATTGCTGTCTGACACTGGGTGATAAATCGTTATATTGTCTGAGAAGAGGGCGCATAAGTGCAGTCTGTCTGTCACTCGTCGTTACAGCCCCTAGTTCTCAGCTTTTCTAGTTACCGGCAGAGTACAACGATTGGCAGGGTTGTACCCGCCAAATACCACTTCAACTCGAAGTTGGGTTATAACATAACTTTGTCTAGAACTTCTACGTTGGACTTATGTGTCATGGCGGAACCCTAATCATTCCATGAGTAACCAATGCCCGAGGAGCTACCATGCTGCTCTACTCCGTTTTATTTTGTAAAAGCCAAGAGGGATTTGTGTATGGCACTTATGCAGCCACAGCTGCGCCATCCGGACGCTAGTGCTCAAAGAAGCGCTAAAAAGGAGCGACTCCATTTTTTCTTGCGGACGGTCATTCATTCAATAGTCAGAGGTGTGGAGTTGGTACCTCAACAAGGTAAGGCAGAGTCTACATGCGGGCGGCGCAGAACTGCAGTAAGAGAAAACGACTATGAGCATGTATTACATCTTCGTGGCTTTGTTCCGGGTTTTTTTATTAGGAAGCTGGTCAAAAGTTCTTTTCCAAGAAATGGGAAGACTGGGGGCAAATATCAAAAAAACTTTTGCGAATGTGCTAATAAATGACGAGCTGATAGCAGGCAGGCCGCCTGCTGGTCGTCCGCCGCACTGTATAGCGGAAATCCTTAGGCCAGCTCCAAAGTACTGTCTGCGCCTTTGGAAGCCTCCACAGCATTAAGAGAAGATTAAGCAGCAGGCGCATGGATTGTTTGCAAAGACAGAGTGCATGAGTGGGCTAGGACTTTTGGGCATAACCCTGGGTTGGTGACAGAAAAGGACCGCGGGTGGCACATATGTGATAACTTCACGCTCCTGAATAAGATCATTGTGGAACAGATCCCGATGCATCGAATTGGCAAATTCCTACGAAATCTAAGCATTATAACACTCTACCAGGCATCTGGCTTTACATACGCTAACGAACCCCTATTCATCTCGAGAACTGGCACAAAACGCTGCTTCATGCTTGCACTTGCATACTCAAGCATGCCTATGCACCGCTTGGACTTTTTACTGCTTCAAACTGCGGCGGCAAATTATTACTGGAGCCTTTTTGTAAACCTGTTTAGCAGGTGTCGATGGCTGTCTGCATAAACGGTGCCTCTGCATAAACGGTGTCTTAGGTATCAGCCGTGACGTTCAAGAGCATCTAGAGTGTGTACGGCGTGCTTTAACTGGGATGGGACAAGCAGTGACGCATAGAGCCATACAACAGCTCATTTTCCAGCATAATTGTGCTTCTAGGGTTCGTTGATGCGGTTCTCAGAACTGAACCGGATTCAGCTACAATTGAAGCAATCAAGGTGCGTACGTCGTCTTTAGGCACCCGCACCTATGACCCAAAGTTGTAGGGTTTTGCATTTTGCCACCAAATTTGCCTTGCTGGGTCTCCTCGAATACCTGCTGCTTCGCCTTACCTACTTAAGAAAACGCAGTCTATGACCTGGACAGAGGAGGAGGATGCCGCCGCAAGGACGCATAGCCGGGGGCCTCATATCACCTCCAGTTCATATGCTGCTTAAATCTAAACGTCCTTGCTTTCCGGTGACCGATGCCAGTAACGAAGCGGTGGCTGCAGCTCTCGCCCATTATGCTACAGAATCTTCAAGCGCTACACCGTTGCTTGCCAATCTCATCAGTTTACAGAAGTCAAGCAAAAGATCCAGCGGGGAAAGAAGAACTCAATGCAGTGTAATTTTACGTGAAAGTGTAGAAAATATTTGAATGAACTTCATTTTAAGGTCCAAGCTGACCATAAGTCTGTGACGTACCTTACAAAGGGTTCCCAAGATCTCGATGGTCCCAGAATGGTTTATAAGCCTAGGCACCTGCGGTATGAGTACACATTGAAGTACATTAGGGTCATCATCAAGATGGTTGCCAACGCGCCCTCGCGACGCTCTGTGCTCGCGATTGTGGACCTCAACCGCCCACCTCGGCGATGACTCACAGCTCCTATAGATATTGAGTGAATTGTATGCTCTTGATATTCATACGTTCGCTGGTATTGTCAGCATCCAGAATTGCAGAAGATTGAAGCAGTACCATGTTGAGGATGGCCTGCTTTGCCTCAAACCAAAGCCCAAAGCCCCTCGCTTGTTTATTTCTACGACACTTCGCAGTCCTATTTTGCGCAAAGCACACGATCATGCTCTTGCAGGCCACGATGCGATTCACAGTACAGTATAAAGCTCTCCTGGAGTTTCTGTGAGGCGTGTTCGTGGCTAGCTGTGCAACCTCTGTCCCCACACGGTCACTTGTCCCAAAAAGAATGTCCGATAACAATAAGGAAAGTTTTGAACCTCCTTTAGGGGACCAGTACTGATAGTTTTGTCGCACCTCCAGCCTTTACGGAGATCCTTTGGGTAAGAAATAGCACTGATTCGTAAGACGATACACGATACTAGCCTCCTGGCTTCAAAAGCCCATCTAGGGTCTCCAAAAATACATGATTCAGACTCAACACGAATTCGAGAGAAAGCTAGGAAGCTTTTCCCCTAAAGGACTTCAGCCCTCTGCTGCTCGCACTTCTCAGATCTTCCAGCATGAGGGAAAAGAAAGAGCCAGGTAGTGCATAGCTGCACCCTCTAAAACTTCAAGCATTCACAACTAGTATGGTATGGAATTTAGCGGGCACAGACGCAAAGTTGCGCCTCATTCTTCTAAGCTAAGAGTGAGTAAAATAAAAACGCAAACAAAAAGAAAAGCCATTAGTCAACACTTCCTAATTCCCTGTCACGTGACACTGTTGTAGTAGGCTTCACTTCAGTGTAGCGGAAGCCGCTACACTTGTTAGCCAGGTGCAAATCACGTTGTCTAGACATTTTAAGGTAACTAGAGGTTTAGCATTCAAGGGCGCACTCCAATCATCGTTAAAATGATACTCTGTTCTTTTGTTCTCGAGCTCAGAGTATCCCCAGGGCATGTAAGCATTTGAGGGCATCGGTAGGGAAGTGAGAGGCTACACCAACGCAAAAATTACAGTGGGACCCTCACACTAGCTACTAGAACCTCATAGCTTCCAGCGTACACTACTGTATATCTGTCATATACCATTTACGTCGGCTCACGTCTGTAAGCACCCCCAGGAATTAAAATTTGCCACTGTAGCAACGGATATTTCCATATCGTATAGCTGCAGTCCACAGCTTCTCTACCTTCCTATTAGTAATGGAAATGGCGTTCGTTGAATAGGAGGTCCTGTGCGTTGCATGATGGCTTGCCCAGTGGTACCAGGTTGGCCCGTAGTGGTAAGCTCTACTTTTGACCCTATCCGACTTGTGCTTGTGCACCTGTATAGAGCATTATGAGTTTAACAGCGAGCTATGCACATAGGGGCAAAGCTCTAAGCCCAAAGTGCTAAAAGGGGAATAGGGGCACATCCCCTCCGTGCGGGCGGCAAGCCTAAAACACGAAATCGGGAATAGGGCGCATGGATGTCTCTTCTGAATGTGTTGCGATCTCCTATACGTTTTTTGTTGACGGCATATTAGACGTAATTTTGATCCTTTTGCTACTGAAACTTGGGCTCAAAAGCGGAGCCTTCGGCTGGACGCCGGGCTGGCGAGTCGGTTTCATTGTACTGTGCACAATATCCGGGTTGCTTGGATTCATATCCGGCTAGAAACTACACTATACGAGAGTTTCTGACTATGAGGTAGTATTTAAGCCGACGAGTTGGCAAAGATGGGGATAGAGCTGGGGCTGACGGCAGCTGTGAACTCTTCCGAGCACCTACCCGCCGGTGTAGCCAGCCGCGGTCGCTTTCGGTTTCTGCAGCAGTATCCCAAAATTCTGTGCATTCCCTATTCTGTTTCCTAAGTTAAGTTTCCTCCTTTGTTTTCCTGAGGCATAACTGGGCAAAGAAGCCGTTTGTTCCTCCCCAACACCTGCCCCTCCTTGCAGTCGATTCTTTTCCTCGCCAAAATGAAGCCCCAGGGCGAGTGGGCCTTTGTCAAGCCTGACAAGGGTGAGTATTTCATTGTTTTGAGCACCCATCGACTTGTATCGACCTCAGTGCCTTGGTCGCAGCCTAGCGAAGTGTCCGAATGTAATGGTTCACAGTGGCTTGCGGACCATCTCGTTGGGGGCAGCTTTATTCAGCGCATTCGGTGTTGCTCCGACCGGGGCCTCATCTCACGCTTACCTCTGTTCCTCTCAGCTGAAGGAGGTCTTTCTCTCTGACTTTTCATTGCTTGGAGAGCTCCCGGATTTGTACTTGTTTTCAGTTTGGATTAACAAAAACTTCCACACCGCGCGGTAGATTTCTTATCGCTACACCTAGGGATAAGGCTTTTTGTTAAGCTTTTGTTGCTGCTGGTTGCTTGTCCTCAGAGGCGTTGGCCAAGGAGAAGACTCTCGAATCCTTGCAGACAGAAGATGTGATGTTTCCCGCCGGTAAACTTGAATATGCCGGCACCAACGTCGTTAAGGAGACAATCAAAGCAACCGAAGACGTCGTCAAAGAGATGAGGACATGGCTTAAGTAAGGTATAAGCCCTCCAAACCATAAAATAATGTAAAGTACAGTGACCAGCACAAACCACTGAACGCAGGTTGTTTCTGTGATGAGGCTACGTAAATGCATGGTCTTCGCTGTTGCTAAAAGCTTACTTTGTTTGCTGGTTTGTCTTTTTGATGGGCCTGCCCTGTATGCTCCGAACCCCAATCGCAGGACAGGCATAGCTCCCGACGGCACGCGAATGATGACTGATGAGGCATCGCAGTGGTAAGGCGTACCCACTGGATGAAATTTAGGTGAAATAAGTAGTATTTGTTACACAAGACGAAGTTTAAAAAGTTCGCTGAGTGTGAGGCTAGCCTTAGATGGCTTCTAGGATCTGATTTACTCTGCCGCATGTCAAATCTCGGACTTTCCGGCTCAAGAGGATAACAACAAAATCGCCTGTATTAAATCACGGCTTCCACTCTTCGTCTACCCTGCACGGTTTTGGATGAATACAATGATTTGTGTACTACTTTTGCGTGTCTCAGGTATCAAGATTTTTATCAAGCTACGGTGCAGGCTGATGCAGAGCACGAGTGCCTGCCCGAGGGCTCTCTGGTGGATTACTACTATTGGAATGCTCCCTACCTGGCGCATATTGGCAACATCAACCTTGTTATGATGCACTCACAAGTACGTACATTTAGGCTGAGAAAGAATATACACTGGGCACGTTTGTGTCATCCAGTAATGCCTAGAGGATATCCAGCAGCCCTAGTAGATCTTCTTGGACAGGCGTTATAAGGGCTGACCAGGGCATGGTAAAAAATATTACCCTCTCATATATATAATCGCAGACTGTATGGTATCAAAATACTGACAATTATTGCTTACTACATGGTAAATTTAATAAAGGGTTCAGAGCATTCAGAAGTCGCACATCACTATGCACCCCTATTCTACGACTCGGGCAATCTCCGATGATGACAAATCTATTGTGTCTCATGTCTTATGGCTGCTAGGTGAACCTGCGTGATGGTACTCACCTACCATGTGATCGCCTGCGCGAGTCGACAAAGGCAATGAAAAACTTGGAGCGGATGGCGAACAAGCGTTTGTCTGCTCAGCTGAGAGACCGAAACGCCTTTGTGGACACAGCTATGGGGCCAGCCCACAGGGGTCACCCTCTAAGGAAGGAAGGACTATACACTCGGTACTTCTGGTCTCCGTTGCATCAGCGCACAATCGAAGAAATGAAGGGAAGGTTCCCCGAGAGGATTCCAACAGTTGTTCATGAGGCACGAGAACACACACCGTCAGAGGCATCGAGTTGATCATCATAGCGAAGCAGTGAGAGGAAATGCTTAGTAGTACTATCAACAGGGTAAAATAAAGGTGTTTTTGTCACAGAAAGGATATGAGGGGTTGACGTGCCTTTGTATTTTCTGTTAGTAAGTAGCATCATAATTAAGGGCTACATACAGCGCGAGAAACCAACCAAACAAGCCGCATTGCTCCCACTAGGCCTGACTTCCAGCAATATCACAAGAAAACTCTCATATACTGAGAGTAAACGTTCTGTTTTTCTCTTCTAACTGCTGAATCGCCATTTTTACAGCTGTCGGTGTACTTACACATTTGAACATGGAGTTGGCATAGTGCAGCGGCAGGAAGAGCTCGGCTGCAGCATAAAAGGTGCGCACACGCTAGAAATACGCTGTCACCAGAACGATTTGTGCGCACGTCTTTTCGTAATTCCAAGTGAGGATGAATGCGGTATGTGGCAAATATTTCTGCGATCGCAATCGAGGCACGCACGGAGATATTGCTAGGTGGTATAAAAACAAAGTAATAGAGCCGCATAGTGTGAATATATTGCGGTGCGTATGCGTCTGGGGTTTTCCCAAGTTTACTGTACGTATGGTCAGTAGTGGAGACGATGCTGCAAGTACGGCTAAAAGATTGTGTTAGTCTCTATGACATAAGCTAAAGAGGCAGGTACTTCCAAAGCTACTCTATAAGGTGACGGATAGAGGCCAATTTATTGCGGGGAACTAGCGAATAAACACTGTAACCACGTAGAATACAGCAACCAGGATCTGCTACAGGTTTTGGCACCTGTGACTCATCTAAGCCAGCCTTGGCTTTTCAATAGCTCCAAAATGCAAGCAAAAATCATCCCTATATAGTGTAAAATGCAATGAAACAGGAATATCTGCTAGTAATACCCCTCCTCTCAAACTCCTATTGCCAGGGGGCCCCTTAAGGGCCCTCTAGGCTTCTCCAATGCTGACTGGGCAACTTACGTTTCATATGCAGTCTTTTCATGTTGAAGACGCGAGTTTCATTCTTATTCTTTAGTTTTGGGGGGTTTCAGTCTGCTTATTTTCTCAATGGCTACCTTGGGTACTCTTCAGCTTCGCTCGTGCTCAGCTTTTGTGCGCGATGGCATCCCAGGGTTCCGCCAGAGACTCTACCCCTGTTTCCTTTCCTTTTTCTCCATCTGCTCCTACTTTTTTGTATGCGACAAATGGGCGTGGGCCCTCAGAACCAGAGAAAAGCACCGAAGTAGGTAATTGCAGCAGCAGCTCGAGAATCGTTAGGAGCAAACGCAGCAGCGACAACAGCACTACGAACAGAGATAACACCGAGATATATAGCGAGATGGGGGCAGAGGCAGTTAGAGATGTCTGCTCTTCAGAATTGAAGAAGAGGAAAGAAGCCACTCCTTTGCTTTGCACTGCTGAAAGCTGTAACCTAGCCTTCCGCAAGAAGACATCGCTAGAGCGGCACATCCTGTGCCATTCCGACCAGGTATTAACGCCGTAGAGGGAATCCTGAAAATGGATGCTGCTGTATTACTCTTATAAGCCCTAACCTAGATGTAGCCCTTATGGCGTATGATGAATGCAGCACTTACTGCCCTGTGCGTTTGTATGCAAGCCTTCTGCTCATGATTTCTGGAATGCAACTAGAGACATGTAAAAAGGACATGCACACACTGCCCTATCGGTTTCGTGCTTTTTCTTTGACGTTCGTGTTGTTTCCCCAGCGCAGTTTTAAATGTGAAGACTGCGGCGCCGCTTTCAAAAGGAAAGAACACCTCAGCAGGCATAAAGTCCTACGACACAAAACCCGGAGTCCACCAAGTATGAACACTTCAGGGGCTTCCACGGAGTGCACCGATCCGAATGGGGAACTCCGGAAGCCAGAAGCACCGCAAAATTTCGAATGCGAGCATTGTGGGAAGGCATTTTTGCTGAACTACCACCTGAAGAGACACCTGAAAACCCACATGCTACTATACAAATGCCGTGAGCGCTACTGAAAGGCACGTATACTTGCTGACTTATTTCTAGCAACAGGAGTATCAACAGCTGCAGCCATAGCAATAGAAGGGCGAGAAAGGGGGGGTCAACGGAAATCAAGACGGAAACAGGCTTCCCTTTCTTTGCCGTTCTACGGCATCGGAAGGAGGAGTCTTATGCGCTGTGAAAGCGCATGTCTCGTCGTTAGGCTCTAAAGCAGCGAATAAACTGGTACAAGTTATACCTGTTCTTTCCGTTTGTTGCTTCAGAACTGTGTACGTCGAGTTTCGCCCGCAAGAGGCAGTTGAAGAAGCATATGCTGCTGCATTTGGTTGCCCAGGAGCAGACAGGCACCTGTGGCAAAGCCGCAGCAAGGCACCAGTATTATTCAACAGTGAACGTGGAAAAGGATATCGAACCCAAGCGAGGGGCACATGCGGACAGGCAAAGCGATACAGAAGCAAAGACCAGCGTAGTGGCCAGCTGGGCGCATGCAGAACGGGGAAAAGGAACTCATGAGGAAACGAAGTGCGACGTCGAGGAGGGCAGAGAATTTCCGAGTGGCAAAGATGCTACAAACGAGGAAACGAAGCTGAGCACGCCGCTGTTTCTTGGAAGGGCAGACCACCAACCCTATGCTGAGAGCAACAAAAGCTTGCCACCTTCACCAGGACAGCCAACAGCACCATTTAGCTGCCCTCATCGCGACTGCGGGAAAGTATTTACATCACTGGACACGTTGTACAGGCACTTGAGAAGGGCTGCACAGAGTAAGGCAACGAGCCTATTGTATTTTACGAGTATTTGAGGAGCTCCAGTGTGCCTGTGGTGCAACGCTTGGTCTCACATGTTTGCATTTCGTGTATGTGCCCAGTGGTGTGCGCCTTCGTGGGCCTGAGCAGATAAATTACTGTCATCACGTCGTTTAGTATAACCATCTGTAAATTTCTATAGCTTCTTCATCGAATGCGATGTATCTGTAAAAGATTTATTTTGATCTACTATCAATTCTTTTGTCTTCTTGTATTTCGTTGCCTCGTATTGCACAATTCTACAAAAGTTTGAGTCTGTTTGTTTCTTGTTAACATAGCTTATGCGTAGGTTATTTAATGTGATGCACGTATTCTTTCTCCCAAATTCCGTACCCAAGCATCACGTAACGTGCGTTTGATCTTATTATTTGATGACCGACCTGTGTTCGTAGGTTACGCTGTCTGGTCCATGCTTGTGTGCTCTAAATGCTTTTTGTCGCTTTTCCTATCCTTTGTTTACGGTGTATCTTACTCGGCTGTGAGAATATACTTCGGTTTCTCGTGTGCTACTTATCTGCATAATTTGTGGCGTACTTCAATACCTGTTACCTCGAGTGATTTTGGCAGGACCTTGCATTCTGGGTAAATACAGCCTGCCCTGTCTCTTGATCAATTGTGTGTGCTTGCTTTTTTCTGTTTGTTTTAATGTTACCATCTAAGGAAAACGCGACTACGCCTGTCCAGTGTGCGACGCCACTTTTCTCGTTTTCTCTGCCCTTGTAGCGCACAAGCGCTCTGCCCACTCAAGCAAGCTCCATAGCTGTGAACAGTGCGGGAAGGTGAGTGCCAGTAAGTGTATAAGGATGTTTGAATTTTATGCGCACCGCGGATATGCAAGCAGGTCAGCAAATAGTTACGTAGATACCATATGGTGTATGGATAGCTCAGGAAACAAAGCAGTTAAAGAGGGGAAGAAAAGTGAAGTCGCGACAAAAATTTGTAATGTCTTTTTTGCTTCTTTACGTCGCCTTTGTGTTATTGCAATAAATGCGATTCAGGCTTACACCCGCGCAGAACGTCTGAAGGCGCACATAAAGGTCTGTGTGGTTACTTTCATCTTATCATTGAGTTCAGTCATCTGCTTTTTATGTGCTAGGAATTGGTGATCATAATCAGAAATAGCTGTACTGTTGCAAGACAACACACATGGGGGCCATGTCCATCACATGCTTGTCATTCGTATCGTGTGTATATTTATTCAATTCATAGAATATACCTACGATGAAGCTTATCACTCGTCATAATATTGTTTTTCTGTAGTGCGCAGCTGCGCATTCGTTTAATACAGTAGCCACACAGTTATTGCCTATTGATTTGCAGGGTCTGTTTTTGTTCAGGCCAAGCACCCGCATGGCGATGGGTCAGGTGATGAAGGTGACGCTGTGGTTGATGGACTTGGGGGGTTTCCTTGTCCGCAGTGCAGCTTGTGCTTCTCCTCAGTAAGTGGAAAGCGGAGAAATATCAACTAGAGTACAAAATACAGCTCGCTGATCGGATGACAATGAAGTTGGATAAGTATATCCTGCTATCAAGACTTATTAAATTAACACATTGCACACGGTTTTGCATAGAGCTGTAGTGTACTGATCTATCGCAAAAAATCTATGCAGGAAGATAATTAGAGCGGTGGAACTCTATGCATTTGTGGTTTCTGGCTTTTACCTATTCGTGGATGGGGAAATGAACAGTCAGTTGGTGTAGTGAGAGCTTTCGACTTCAACTCTACTCTGTCTACGTCGTACTGCCTGAACTCTTGCGATTTTCGTCTGATAATATTGCTGTACCTATTCCCTAGTTGGCTGTGCTGCGCTTGCCTATTTCCTGTTCTCCAAGTTCTTTGCCGCTTCGCGGGTGTTTTTTGTCAAGTGGGGTAATCAGAAAATACTTTTCTCGTAGGTGTACGAATGTATGTGAACAGCTCAGGCCTTCGGGCTAATAATGGAGAGTGCAACGAACACTGCCAGATGAAAATCACGTGTTCAGCAAAAGAACAAGTGTCTTTTCTAGCGCTAACTACGCATAATTGAAAGCAATAATTTGATATTCATTTTAGGTTAAATGAGTCGGTTACTAACGTTTTAGGGTATTTACTGGTATCCTGTGGCTGTATGTAAGAGAGTCGTGCGATGTTTTGTATCTGACTTTCAAGCTCTAATGTCGCACTTAGCATGATCGGTTGCTTCCAAACAGTGAGAACCCAATGAGGGTATATAAGGGGAGGGCAAGCTCTTGTAGACACTTCTTTAAATGAAGTGGTTTCTTCTTTGTGTTCTGTTGCATTCTCAGAAAAGCAACCTCAGGGTCCACGTAAGGGTAAAGCATCTAAATGAACGAAGATTCTCATGTACAGAATGCGACATGAAATTTGCGTACAAGTCAGTCCTACGACGTCACATCGCATCCATTCACGGTTTAAGGATGTCCAAGAATGTCTCACAGCCACAGTCAGAGAACCAAAGAAAAGAGGGGAAAGGAATCCAGGGATCTCATGAAAGTGACGCAGCTGAGGAAAAATCCGTTGGATCACGTGACTTGGATGTAGTAGACGGAATGTCGGGCAGAGACGCATATAAATTGTGCGTGTACACGAATAACACCGGCGGGTCCCAGGTTGGGCACGTTACAAAACGCTGCTTAGAGGGCAAAGGCTGCAGTAAAATTGGTGAAAGTGCAATCGTTGAAAACTCCGCATGCATGTTTATGGAAGGATCACCAGAGAAAACAGCAGGCGATACCGGGGAAGAACAGGAAGCAGCCCACGCCATTAACGTGGCTTACCAGACAGGACAGAGGTTCTTAGTGGATGCTGTCTCCGTTGACTTGATGATGCTGCACAAATCCCCTGGATAGTGTGCGATTAAAGATGCATCTTCCGTTCGTGTTTTTGAAAAAAATTTCGTTATTGTGGTAGTGCTACACTGAGAAGTCCGATATTTTTACTATTGGGATAGTGTAAGGATTACATAACGGAATCGCACCAAATGTACACGGAACCAGGAACAATGGAAATTGTCTAGTATAAATGCAAGTTAGAATGGACATTTTTACTCCACCTTCCCTTTGCCTTGTCTGGCACAACTACCGTTTTTTAATACCATTGTAGGTGCGTATATTTAGGTACATCTCGGCATGCAACACAAATATGTGTCAATGTAGCATCTTTGCTTACTTGCTTTCAATAGTGAACGCCAAGAAGTACCGCATTGACCTGGAGCCATCAGACCTGCTAATATATACACTTTAGAACAATAGGATTATTGGCATCCGCAGACTCCCCTGAGTAGTGAATGTAGGCAACATATTTTCCTTATGGCACATATATACATGGAAGTGTGTGTGGATGAATTTTTGTTTGCCCTCACTTATTCTGAATGTTTACACCTCAGTGCTCAGAGGAACGTGTTGGCCAGCTGTTCGAAAGAGCCTCATGTCGTTTACAAAAACCAATTAACTAGTAAGGTAGATTGCTGGTAAGCATTATTTTTTGCTGGTGTGTATGCACAAGTAATGGCAGCCGAAATTCTCCTGAAATGACTGCTACTGACACATACGAAGATGTGTTAGCTTCGTTAGTCGAAGAGGAGTTTTCAAGCATTGCTGAGCACCACCTTTACCTCCTCTGGGTGCATCTCGATCTTATCTGAATAGCTAGTGCAGCACATGTTCACCTACGTTTTCCCGTCAGTGCCATTCTGATGCTTCGTTCCCAGAGACAGGAAACAAGAGAGACCTCCGATTATGTCGAGCTTCCTACTCTTAAACCTAATAGCATCAAGTTGTATGATAACCTAGGGGTTCTGATGCGCATATGCCGGTCACTGCAGTGGCACCTAGCCCCAAAGTAGGGTTTTAGCGCTCCCCTGCCATTGAAAGCACGAATAAAAAACAAATGGGCGACAAGCATAGTATTCTTCTATACATCCATGTGGCAAGCCCTTATCAGAAGCATTATTCCACATATTTACATGCATGGTACTTGAACTTGCATGATGCTCCTGCTGGCAATAGTCAGAGTCCTACAAATGCGACAGTCATTGTTATCGTACCAAAGCCCTTACCAAAAGGCATGCGGATTGTTAAAATTTCTAGTGACGCGATGTGCTTCGGTCTTCTGGTGGTAATGTGCCTGCGATATTTATAAGCCCTTTGCAGAGAATTCGACCTCTCAGATGTTCCCAGACACCGCTTCTTCATGTCAAATGCTCCAATTCGTCCGGCCATACAAATGATTCACCCGTCCAAACTTCTGTACCAGCATGCAGAAGTCCAAATTGAGAGGTCTCTGCTCTAATTGCCTTTTTTCTGATGATGGCGTGCACTTTGGTTTTGAGCCAACCCTTTAATTTCCGAATGGAGGCTGCCAGGCGCTTCTTTAGACCACCCGATGCTGAAAAGCACTCGCACAAACAAGAAAGCTGAGTCAGCGACATATCGGGTAGCAAATGCGCTATCGTCATTCCAGCAGGTAGCGGTCGATATGGAAAATGCAGTTGCATGCTTTGCGGACGACGGATGGTCTGCAATTAAGAGTGAGCATTCGGTAGGTAGGTGAACACAACAACTACCAAGATACGCAGATCACAAATATGTGACTCACCCTACAAACTTAAATGCTTAGATTTGGCTGCTATCATCCACTCTGTTTACTTGGTGAAGCCTTTACGCTTGAATAGGCCATATGTTACTCACATATTGCATAGTTGGCCATTCTAGCCCTCTCTGCCTTGAAGGCGTCCTGATTCCTGTTCCCACTCATCCAAAGGCACTTGAAGCTAATCACCCAGTTGGATGCTTGGAGCTTCGTGGATATCGAAATCTCACTCACTGATTCAAGTACTTTGTCCATCTGTTTCTGAATGTCTGCAGCCGTTGACTTGGGATTGAAGGCAGCCATTTTATGCAGGAGGGTCTCTGGGAAGGCAAAAGACATTTTTCAAAGACTGCAAATATATAAACTTCATGGTATTGCTTTTGCATGAAAACCGCCTATTTAGGGAAAGGAGCAAACAGACTGGCAAAGCAATCGACACAGAGTTGTACATGCTGACAAAGGAACTGTCAGCTCCGATGCCTGGTAGCACGCACACTTAGTACAGTATGGAGAAGAGGCTTCCTACCTTTATACTTTTGGCACCACAGATCTACAACAAGCTTGGAGCTGAGCACCTGTTGGAGCACACTAAGGTCTGCACTGGTGCCTTTTGTCTGAAGCGCCCAGGAGAGAATAGAAATACGAAGCAAATTAACCCATGCTTGAGTTCAAAAGACGGTCACGACTGTGCTGCACCAAGGTACATTGAAGCAACCACAAGCGATTAACAGTTATTCCACATAACTGCCCTACAGGATTTCCCCAATGTGTTGTGTGTAGTATAAATCGTTTGCCTCGATTACTTTATCTATTTTCTCGGGCTCCAATGCTTGTTCCAGCTCTAGGAATCGCACATGGGGCTGTTCGGTATCAATGTCATGCTTGGTTTGAGCTCTTTTGCCATAGTCGCCGGCCGAATAAACGTTTCCCTCAACTGCGGTATCCCCTCGAGGCGACTGCAGTGCTCCCTTGCATCTCTGCGATAGATCCAAGGCTACTTTGACAATGGTAATGGGGTCTACATAGGTTGCCATGAGGTGGTTGAGGGTGGCGACAAGGTGACCACGGCCGATGCTTTTAAGGGACCCTCTGGTAAGGTACAAAGCTCTGTCTGTGATCGTCTGGCGTGCAGCATCCTTAACGTCCACAACTTTTCCAGTATCAATCAAAGATCCGAGAGCTGGATTTTCATTAGGCACAATGCAAGGCAGCAACAAATCACAAGTGGGCATTTGTTACACTGGAACATGCACATGGGCCTAATGACTCGTGTCAGGCGTCACAAGGAAGAGCTTTGCCATGGGTAAGGGGCACACGGCGAAAATATACGCTGCCTATTATACATCATAAAGCAGCACTTTAAGTAGCGATCGGGAAGAAAACGGCGTGTGACCGTTACGCACGTGCGCATCCGGACCGGATAACTCTCGATGCAACGAATGAGGGGCCTCTCGCTGTAGTCAAAGACAAATGCACAAACATGCGGAAATCAGAGGAACAGCAATTAGATTTGAG